CACACACACACACACACACACACACACACACACACACACACACACACACACACACACTTGCAATTTGTAACGATACAATGTTGAGTAAGGTTGACGGCGAGCTGCTTTACACAGCTAACGTTGCGGTCTTTGACAATTCCAAAGGCGAATATCAATTCGCCTGGCAACAGCGAATGAACAAAGACGAATTATATTTATGCACTGGTGTGACGACGGCAAATATACATATATACACATGCACACTACACTACTACCAATGACCTGTTGGGTGCGACAGTCACACCAAAAGTTTGCCAACCTCCTCAACGGCAACCGGGCAAACTTACCGGACCAACCCTGCCCTGATAGTTATATATGTATGTGTGTGTGCACTTGGCTACATATGTGCATGTGTTTGTGTGAATGTTTGCCTACTTGAGCTTAAGGCACTTGAGGCAAAATAGAAATAGCGAATTAGTAAAACAACAGATAAGATGTAGCAAAACAAAAAGCGCAATACTAACACACACACACAAATGCCTGTGCATCATACGCAATGTTACTTCTACACATGTATGGCAACATCTGTTCACACAAACACGTATGCATTAATGTGTTTGTATATGTACATTTAAAAATAAAACTATTTAACCTTAGCGATGTCGTTGCCATAGTGACGTTCATTCTACGTGGACAGTAAAAAAAAAAAAAAAAATATTTTGCAATGCACTTTTATTGCCTAACGACAAAAAGAAACTCAAACAAAAAGAGCAATTATCTGAATAATGGTGAACAGCAAATGCTCTTGCTAATGCTAGCTAAAAGCTTCATTAGCGAATCATCATGAATATATTGTGATTTATTTAAGATCTCCATTAGCGGCGCATCATATACTAGTCTGGTGCTCCTAAGATCTACATACATTAGCAATGCATTATAAAAAGCTATGGAAAAGAATGTGTTCTAGCTGATTCAACTTAAATTGTCTGCCAGATGAAGAATATAACTTTTATGAGTGCACTAAGTGGTATGGGCGACGCGTAATTTACTAATTTACCTAATTCCTAGTTGTTTTTGTAGTGAATACTGAGTGCAGCTAAGACCCAACGGACAGTAAACCACAATCACAACAACAGCAACAACAACTCTGAGGTTATATAATATTTAATTGCTACGATCGAATTAAAAACAAACTAAAAACTGAATTGAACAAGATGCGAACAGTTTATAGCTGTTCCCGCAGAACATTTCCTGGAAGAAGATGATAGAAATAAACTCAACTTTATAGTTTATGCTGAATCCATATCACGCGATTCAATTATAATCAATTTGTATGTATTTATGATTAGGATAGCTGCTCGAGCTGACTGGCAAGCTTGAAGGTGAATCGTAGGGCAGGTTCTATAAGCCAGTACTACAATTTATTTATTACATACATATGTAAATAAGTATAAAATCATGATCAGCTAGAGTTGATAATCAACGGCATTCGGGTATAAATAAATAAACAATTTGTGTTCTGTTAAATAATTTCGTTTAATTTGACATTTTTTCTTATTTTTTATATGTATACACATATATAATATAGATACTATATGTGTTTCAATTTGATTAAGATGCAAAACTTAGCACATTTCGTGGAACCAATAAATAACAAAGCGCGACAATACAAATATATAGAATAAAATAGAATAGGATAGAAGAATATTTTACATTTGTTAATGCAGCTCCTTATTTATTCTCTCTCCCTGGCTATATACAAAACAATATTACTAGACAAATATGTATGTACAATTCGTAAAACTATTCAAGTCTTTCATACAAATTTGGTTAGGCTAATAGTTTGGTGCTACTTTCGATCTAATTAGATCTTTAGGTATTTCAAATTACGAATTATGAGCTCGTTATTATTCTCGATAAGCAAAAGGCAACTTTTATTTCGCTTAGAATCTAAACTGTAGCCAATTGAATCGATGCATTTTTGTATATATTATATTCAAATGTGTATATTTGTGTATTCCCTACGAAGGCACATAAACAAAGAGGAAAATAAACAACAAGCGACGCGTACGCCCCAATCTAATAACATATATGTATGAAAGAGTTTGGATGATCGGTTCGTATATTATGAATCGTTGCACTGAAAACGTGAAACGTGATGAGCTCCCTGATTGAGTACTATACAAAACTGAAGCCCATTTAACTATCCTATAAGTAAGAATTTCTTTTCTTCTTTTTCTTTCAACGGAGGCATGAAGATAATAATAATATCATAATAGCCTAGTAAGTGTAAACAATTTAAAGAACGCACAAAGTACAAATTATCTTGAGCCTATCATTGAAACTTAACTAGTCTGAGCTACTATTGAAACGATCCTCGTTCAGGCTATCTCACTCTATTTTTCTGTCTCCTTTGATCTCTTCAATTGCTCATCTGAAGGCCGCCGCTGCTGCGACTGCCCGTTGACGAGGAGCCGCTCAGTCCGAACTGTGAGACGAGCTTATCGTAGTCCTCTAGCGACGTCTCAAACTGCTCCAGCTGGCGCGACAAGTCATCCATGCTGCCATCGGCTACATTGCTAGATATAGCAGCTGCAGCGGCAGCTGTGGCGCTACAACTTGTTGCATTGGGCGCTTGTAGTTCGTTCAGCCCGAGCAATGGCGGCGCATAATAGCACTCCCGATAGAACTTCGCCAGATCATTCACCTGCGACGTGGGCGAGGCGAACGGGAAATGCAGCTCCTTCAGCAGGCTGTCGTCGTCCGGTGGCTGTTGCAGCTGCGATGAGGACGCGGATGTCTGTTCCTGCAACATGGACGCTGACTTGTAGCGCAATGTGGCACTGCTCGCGGGGATTAGTAGACTCTTAATGGGCGATGCTGCAGTAGGTGCTGCTGCGGCTGTTGTTGATTTCTCAAAGCTCTTAAATGCTGTCGAGTTGTTGTTGTTGTTGTGGTTTTGATTGATGTTGTTGCAGCTGCTGCCATTAATGCTGTAGTTGTTGTTATTGTTATTGTTGAGAACTGGCGATTCACATTTGCGATTCAGAGATTCGATCGAGCCACTGCCATTGCTCTCATGCCGCGTGCGCAGCATCCACTCAAATGGCGGCGTTTCCGGCAGTACGAAATCAGTCTCAGTAAATTGACGCAGCTTGCCCAGATCTGTGAACGCACCTGGACGCAACGGTTTCTCAATGTCTATGAAACGTTTATCAGACGCCGCTCCAGTGCCAGCCGCACCAGCTGCACCGCCCGCTGCAAGCTTCAGCGACGACATCTGCTGGATGGGAGAGCTGGCATCGCTGGCAGGCCGAAAGTGATCCGACTTCAGCATGATGGTATTGTGTTGCTGCGCCTGATGTGCCGTAGTTGCCGCCTGATGTCCGGCCGTGGGCGAAATAGTGAGTTTTGTGCGATAAGCCACCGACATGATTACCGAACCCAGAATCGTATTCAGCTGGCCAATCTTCACCTGCTTGTGTCGCTCGCCCAGCGTGTGCACCTGCGGCCGATCCACATAGACACGATAGTAGATGCCATATGAGTCAGGGCACTGGCGGCGCGATAGCTTATAGGCGGGCGTTGTGCGTGTGAGCGAGATGAGCGATTTTAGCATAATGCTCATCCGATTGTAGATAACGTGCAGCTGATGGGAGGAAGCCTTCAGTGTTTGGCTGTCATTGAAGGCGTTTATGTTGCCGCCCTCGCCCTTGCAATCCTCTCCAGCGGTCGCTTTATTACTGTCCACTGGCAGCAGATCCAACGACCACACCTCAAGTATCATTTTGTCCCCCTCGGTTGTCCTTAACGAAATCTCAACACATAGCGGTAGACGTTGCAGGATGCTTTCGCCTTGCTTTAGGGCCAGAGCGCGTTTCGTCTCGTCCAGCACATCGGGATGATCCTGAACAACAATATTGAACCAATCATTGCCACCCAGCGGATTGCATTGTGTTTGTATCTTCTCGCCCAAACGAGATTGCACCACAACTTGAGCTGTCTTGAACGCCAGGAATTTTATGTATTTTTCTAGTTCTTTTTCGGCTGCATTTAAACGTTGCGCAGACATTTTTGTGTTTATTTCTTATATTTTAAGTAGTTTAGTTAGTTTTCTGCTTTGTGTACTTGCAACAGCGTACAAAGTTCGTTTTTTGTTTTGCTTCTTACACTGCTTCCGCGTACTGTCTGCTATGCCAATTCGCAGTATTCTCTGGAATTTTTCTTTTTTATTTGTGCACTTTACGCTTTGACACTACGATTACCGAATAACACATGCTTGGGCATTTTTAAAAAGCACTATAAAATATTTGCTTAAAATGTTTATTATTTGTTGAAACATTTACTTTATTGAATTCTTTGATACGAAAGAAAAACAAAGATCACTCCCACTTTTTTCATTACTGTCCGCCATTGAACTAAAGCAAATGCGACTACGACGTGCTGGTGCTGCCATACTCAATGTTGTGAGGGCCTGACTCAGAGTTGCCAGGCTCTCGATATAGGCGGTTATATGAAAAGCAAAACAGTGATTTGTGAATACTTATATTCACAGATAAAAAAGAAACAAAATTAATGACAGATCACAATGACGAATTCTAGGCTGTATCTGGTATTTGAATCCATGTTCACCTCAAAGTTATATTTACTCAAGTTAATTTTTTACTTATATACGTTTTGAATTGTCTCAATACATAGTCTGTTGTTGTCAATAGCCAATAACCTTTTTAAGATGATTAAATTATTGTTCTATGTATTTTAAATTTATTTAATAAATATCTTCGAATCGCGCTCTAAAACTGTGAATATCAAAAATTTCTTTTATGAAGCCGTGATTAGCATACCAGCCTTAAGTATTTTTATTAATGTTTCAAAGAAATGTGGCAACTCTCAGCAATGTATGAGACACGTCACGTACGCATTGTGGGCGGGTTGGGTGTCTTTATTTGAAATGCCAACTAAGGGTTTTGCTATAATTAAATATTTTCATACATATTTATTTCACTTATTTATACAACACCACTATCTAGAATTTGTAATGACCTCGCGCCAATGAGTGATGGCTAATATTCGGATTCAATTGCACTGATGCTTCAACTCTTATTGTTTTTGCACGTTGAAATACTTTCGGTCCGATTCCGAAAGGACTTGCTTTGGCAAATATTTCAGAACCTCAGTCGGCACAGAACTCAACATTCTCAGGCGCTCCTCCTCAATGAGTGCCTGGCGCTCGGCGTCTGACTTCGCCTTCAAATTGAAAAATCGAATGTTTTCGGCTGCTTCTTCGGCACGCTTCCGATTATTCTCCTCAATCATTGACAGAAGCAGAGCACCATGCTCCTTCCGCTGTTGGCGTATCAGAATTTCGTTATCGCCGCATGCGTGGATGTCGATGCTGAAAGAATCTTTGTCAACAGCTTGTTCCTTCTTCTTGCGCACTGCTTCTAAATGTCGCTCATAGGCTTCAGCACGGTAGCGTTCTAATTCTTGGCGGGTACGCTGGCGCTCCAGTTGTTCCTGCTGGAGCTGCTGCCGGTAGCGTTCATCGTCCTTCGCTTTGTACTCTGCCTGCAGCAGATCCAGCAAGACATTGTCACGTTGCCTTTTTCTATTCTGTAATGGAAAAGTTAAAAAGGATACTTTTAAGAGTTTTTGGTTTACTATGCTAGATTCCACTAGACTTACCTCAACTTCAAGCACCTGCTGACCTATTCGCGAACTAATCTCCTGCTGTTTACGTATCGCTTCAAGTCGGGCCTTCTCCATTTCCTCTCTGTGCTTAGCTTCCTCCAGTTGTATCTCAAATGCTTTTAAGGTATCTTCGTTGAGCTTCGCCTTTTGCAGAGCCTCGTATTTTCGTTTTTCCTCTATAAACTGAATAATATCATCTCGCTTCTTGATCTTTAGGCGCTGTAACTCCAACTGAAGCTCTTTATCTTCTTCTTCGATTTGCTGCTGAATGGCCATGCGGACCTCCCGCTCCGCCAGCGTCTGTACGTATTGGCCCTGGCGACATTTCTGCCGCTCTTCAACTTGCGATATAAGTGTCTTTCGCAGCTCTTCCTGCTTCTTCTTTTTGCGCAACTCTTTTTCTTGCTCCATGGCCAGCTGTTGTTGCCTTTCAGCCTCGGCACGCTGTAAGCCCTGCAGTTTCACATGATTTGCGAGTTGTCGACTTCTATTTATTTCCCTCATATGCTCCTCGAGGTCCTTAGTGATCGCTGCCAATCGCAGATGCTCGGCCAATTGTCGCAGTTCCTCGCAGTCATTGCGCAGCTGTTGACGGCGCTTGCGATCGACGAACTCCTGACGCTTCAGTTGCTTTAGCTCATCAGTCAACAAGACGTCGGCGTTAACTGTCTGAGGAAGTCGTCTATTTTCCATAGCTTGGACTTTTTTTATTTGATCAGTTTCGACCAAGGTCTTGCAGAAATGTTTTTCGGTTCTATAGAGCTTGTTTTCGTCAATGGGTACAAATCTTTTATGCGCCTTTGTAGCAAAAACCACGGGTTGTGCATCCCTTGGATGCGCCCATATCCCACTCATCGTTGCCATGGTAGCAAAAGGACATATAAACAAATTAAATAAAAGCTATTAACTACAAGAAACTAGAACCAAACAATAAAAGTATAACAAAAAAAAAAAAAAAGAAGTGTGTATATTTAGCCTAGATGCCTGTATTTATCATTGTTAATATTCTTCATTATATCGATATTTATATATCGATAGGTCGAACAAGGATTTTTCAAACAATCAGGCAACTACAATAGCGAGATCGTAAATTGCAATGATCAACTGCTTTTACGATGTTTCAAAGGGAAACTGCATTGTTTGTCAATATATAAAGATTTGTAATATATTTATATTCAGAATTAACATGAACGAGCCATTCGCAGCTGTTTTATTTAGAATAGGCAGTTGGGAAATACTTCTTATCGTGCTCTACAATATCTTCCAATATATCATCAATGTCAGTGGTAGGATAACGCTCAACCCACGACTGAATGTATCCCTCATGAGTTGGCTCATAGGTCTTCAATTCCACTTTGCCTCCGTTTACCACCGTGTTAGCCTGCACCAAAATAATGCGCGGCTTCTTGTGTGCCAAGCATATGTCGCGCCACTTTGCCCAAGGATAAGGTCCACTTTCGTTAACCTCTGAGTAGTGTTCGTACATTTTGGAAGCGGCTTCGATATCAGCGGTGGATTTGTAAACCTGCAGCTTAGTCAAAAATTCGCCCAGCGCCTTTTTGCCAACCGTTTGGATTTTAGTACGATCCAATGTAAGCAACAGATTTTTCCCGTTTTCAGTCTCTTTGATGTTGACAAATCCTTCACCAGCTTCCAACAAAACTTTCATGATGACAAAACGAGCACGCGAATGCGCTTGTAGCCATAATTTCGACTTGGGATTGTACATTTCCAAGGCAACCCCCATGCCGTTCCAAATTAGGCTGAGCCAGTTAATGTAAATGATGTCATCCTGCTCCGCAGCATCTTTGAAACCAAATATCTCCAGAATGTCCCGCTGTAGAGATAAGTAGAGGCCTACTGCTTCAGCGCGGCATTCTTCGTATGATGAACCAATAGCTCCAAATTTCGTATCGTATGTTTCGCCAGGCTTGTACCAACTGGTAATGGGTTTATCAGTCACGAGGCTCTTTACTGTTTTCACGTCGAAGTTGTAGGTACCATTTTCGTCAATGCGGAAGAGTTTGCCACTGCCATGTCCCAACAATTCATGCAATCCAACCTGCACCTCAAATGCCTTTACTTTGTACTCCTTCATTAGCGCCTGATCCTCGTCGGATAGAAAAGGTATGGAATCTTTGCGATTGATATTGGCCAATACATTACCCAGCGAAACATTTTTGAAACCCTCATCCTGACGAATTTCATCATCTGTTAGTATAAAATATATAATCAGAATTATCGTTTTTTTTTTTTTCTATAATTCTCTACTTACAGTTAGGTATATTTATGCCAGCGGGCACTCCGCTTCCAGCAAAGGTTAGCACATCTAGGGACGTGAAATCTGGCTTCAAGTACGAATCCTTTTCATAGGCCTGTGTCCATGGCAAATATTCTAGAAGTTTCTCGGCACGATTGACTAATTCGGCAAATTTAGCAGAGCTTTCCTTGTTGACCATAGCTACAAAGCCCTCGAATTCCGCTCGGCCACCAGCTGGATCGCGGTAGGTTTCAATGAAACCAATGTATGTCTCAATGACGGGTCCCTTATCCTTGATCCACCATCTGGAACCGTTTTTGTGCTCGGCTAACGAGCCCTCTTCGAAGGACTTAATATAATGCTCAATCATTTTCTCTTCATTAATGTTGGCAGCATATTTTTTCGCTTGACGCAAATTTTCGTTTACGCGTTGCAGCAACGGTTGATAATCGCCGCGGGTAACCCGGAATTGGTTGCCCTTAAATTCCTCCAGCGCCAAAGTAATACCTTCTTTGCTGGAGTTCGCAACTGAGCCGAGCTTAACGTCATAGAATGTTTTTCCGTTTTCGGTCACCTTGAATGTTCGACACATATATGGCTCAATCCGCTTCGATGTCAGCCAATCGTTGACTATTTCTGAATCCTCCTTGGTGCAGTTATCCGACCAGTATGTGGTTACACCACTTGGCGCAAAGCCGAGCACTTCATTGCGCGCATCCAGCGCATAAATCAGATTTTTCACCTTTTCAAATGTCTTGGTTACACGTGGCTCATTTGCATACGCAGCCGACGATCGCACAATTGCCTCAAATTTTTCCTCCGGTAAATTGGGAACAATCTTGCTATCACCCATGCCCTTGTAATTGCCTGCATTTGCGAACACGCCACAAGCGTAAACAAGGAATGCCTACAATGATAAGATATATTGTTTAAGTGCAGATTTACAGGAGACAGATAACAACCTAATCAACCTTTTACAGTAAGATCTTAAATAATGATTATCGTATTCAACTCATTTTTTATATATACTTACTGTAAAATCATCTTCTGTGGCGCCTGCTTTCAGTGCTTTCATTTTCAGTTCCGCGGGCTTTTCGGCAACAAAAATGCGATGCAGCAGCGAGAAGATAAGTGGAGCCTCCGGACTGGACTGGATGACAGCGACGAGGCCGCCATCCCACGATGCCTTGCTAAAATAATGAGCGTACAGCTTTTCCTTATCGGTTAAGTTTTCAAATGCATTTTTACAATCCAAATCGGCAATGGGCTGTGTATTGGGCAGCACGAAATGTGAGGTTTTGCTGGCCATGACGTTTAACTCTGGCAGATTAACACGTGTGCTACAACGAAGAGAGAAATCAGATATGCATTTAGAAGAGCTAATCGTCTAGCCGTGGAATACCTGTAATTAATGGCTGCGAGCCCAATTGGTGTACTTGGTTTACCGGAATTTAGAAGAATGCGCTTTGACTTTTTTTGGAAACGCCGCTCTAACGTATAACTGCTGACTGTTCGAAAATTTAATTGGCAAAACTGTCCTAGTTGACGGAATCTATGAATTTTCTGAACTAGCAACATGACGGAGAATTTTGACTGTTATACAATTTTTAAATTTATTTTCATATTAATACCAAACAATCAAAAAATTTTCTGATCCACAACTGCAAAATGTAAAACGCTTTAATTTCAAAATTATATCAAACGATGAAAAACATAAACATAGAAATGATGAACGCGTCGAAAGTGTTTTGTACATACATATAAATATACATATATATATATATGTGTGAATGTATATCTTTGTATTTAAGTACATACGCATGCGGCCCTCTTAATGCTATGAAACCGTTTGTTTTTAGGGCGTAGCACGCAAAGCATAACAAAGAAAGTAGCAGGCTCAAGTTAACAATAAACTTAAAATGTAATATTGATTGTTACATACCTTACAAGTTATAAAATTAAAAAAAGAACAAAAAATGCCGACAAAGTGCAAGTTGTCACTAGCGATGACCAATAGTTGCGATTTAACGATATTTCTGTAAGCTTTGCCAAGCGATAACATTAACTGTTACATGTTTAACAGCGATCAACAAAAAATAAATACATTTTTAATTACAAAGAATTTGAGATAAAAGAAAATGCGCCTTATTTAATTCACATTTTTTTGGCATCAACTTTTCAGAACTGTCTGTTAATCTCAAGATTAAAAATGCTTTCTTCAAATATTGTATTCTAATTGGAAAATCAGTATTTTACCGTTTGCGGTCACACTATCTGACATTTTAAAAATATGTAGATCAAATATTTAAAAAAATAGTTTAAAAATCTAATAAATTTATTATCTGAATGTGCAATTGTAGGCGTGGTGAGTGGACCAGATTAGAGCTGGCATATATGCAAAAAATAATACGCTGTTGCCAATGGATTGCCACCCACTTCCCCATACAGCTGTACAAGTCATATGTTTCTTATCACCTTCAGGTTGACCCCAGCAGATAGAGACGTTTTTTCCGCAGGCGTTAGGACAATGGAGCTCACTGGCTGGGTAAAAAATTACGAATGGGGCAAAAATGGCATTCATTCGGCCGTTGCACAACTAGCAATGGCTAACGATCCAGATTTTGTCCTGAAAGATGATGAGCCCTACGCGGAAATGTGGATGGGCACCCATTTTTGCGGTGTTTCAATTGTTAAAGAGACAGGACAAACTCTAGACCGTGTTCTTAAGATGGAACTGCCATATCTTTTCAAAGTGTTGAGCATTAAAAAAGCACTGAGTATTCAAGTGCATCCCAATAAATGCGAAGCTGAGCGTCTGCACGCGGAACGACCGGAAATCTATAAGGATAGTAACCACAAGCCGGAGATGTGCATTGCCCTAACACCCTTCGTAGCGTTGGTTGGTTTTCAGCCGATCGATGATATCATCGATAACATTGACGAGTTCCAGCCACTGTCCAAACTCATCGGCAAGAAGGCAGTCCTCGAGCTGCACCAAAAACGGGATACGGAAAGCTTAAAGGCATGCTACGAGATCCTAATGAGATCCGACGATGCTAAGATTGCTGCGTGCCTCAAGGAGATAGCCAAAAATTATAAGAAAGGCAAGTCGGCAAAATCAGTTAAAGTATTTCAGTTAGATTTATTTCTCTTTTTGTGCAGAACTCGAGAGCAACGAATTGTTGAGTGTATTTAACAAGATCAATGCAGACTTTCCTGGTGACGTCGGTGTGCTATCTCTATTCTTTCTAAACCTAATACATTTGAAACCTGGCCAGGGCATATACTTGGGCGCCAATGAGATTCACGCATATCTAGAGGGCGAGTGTGTGGAGTGCATGGCTTGTTCCGATAATGTCATTCGTGCGGGACTTACGCCCAAGTACAAAGATGTTGAGCAGTTAATTTCCTCTGTGATATATGAGGGCAAGCCGGCGAGATGCAAATTGTTTATGCCATATCGTATCGATGATTGCGTAGAGGTGTTCGCACCACCTGTTGACGATTTTGCTGTCATCCACGTTGCTATAAGCCACACTGTGGATACTTACAAACTAGAGATACAGAAATACGGCTCTATCATGTTGACACTGACCGGGATGCGCATTCTTAAACTAACCACAAAAGATGGCCCCAAGGAAATAACCGTATCGCGTGGCAGCATTATCTACATTCCAGTTGAGGCAGCTCCCGCGATTGAGTTCCTGCATGCTGAGGACTGCGGCGATAATTTTTCCGCTTACATTGCAACATATAATTATTTTCGTCATGCTTAGATTGTAAATTTGTGGTGTGATTTTTGATTTGAAATTTGAAATAAACCAAACACGTTATATTTTTACATTGATGCAATTTATAACAGCTACTATTGAAACTTAAGTGGCAATAATAATTTCTTAAAGCGGGGTTAAATCTAATCAATATAATCAAAAAACATTATCGATCAATATAAGCCCAATAAACATTTCCATGTGAATAACGAATTTAAGATTACTGCAAAACAAGCAAATTTGCATCGACTTAATCTATTAACTGGGTTTACATTTTGCTTGACGTAAGATGTATATATATATATATATTTATAAACATTTGTGTGTGTGTATATATTATAAATAGATAGGGGTTACATCAATATACATATATTTATACTGTATTTTGTATAGTATTAACAAAGTGGCGTACACAAAGAATGCACATAAATTGGCTACGAATATGACACTACTCTTAAATATTTAATAATTCTCAACCAGGCGTTCGCGTTCCATTCGGTTCCGTTGACTCCTTGAATAAATGCCTTCATCACTTCGGGCCGCACAAATTGTAAATACATATATTTTTTGTCATAAAGTGGTCTAGTTTGATTCATCGTAAAGGTCGGAAAATGCCTCAAAAAGTTTGTACCAAAAAAATGTAAATAAATTTATACGAAAATCTCATTATAAAATTTGTGTTTTTCACTTCTGGTTGCGAGTAAACGCGTGCTTATTAGACAATAGGTATACAAATAGCTATATAATCATATTATTGTATAGATGGGTTAGTCGCATTAGTTGATATTTTCCATATTTGCTTTAGCAAGCGTATACGTATATATATATATATATATATATAAAATTAGATATTGCAGCAGCAGCAAATATATAAATTAAAATTGTTGCTGCTGCTTCTAAATTTGTGCCCACAACATTTGTTCCTTATTGTTGCTGTTGTTGTTGTTGATTCTCTTGCTGTTGGTTGTGAATGTTTCTGTGAGATAGTAAGTTGTACCACGTAAGTGAAGAGCGGAGTAGGAGCATGAGAAGAAGCTTCTGATTAGGTTATCATATATCATCATCGTTTCAAGTGTTGAGAATTTCTTCGTTTAACTCTTGAGCAAATTGTTTGCGCGCTTATTAACACCATCCATGCGTATGTTGTTTGCATCGCCTTTGGCATTGATGCGATCGATTTGTTTGTTCTGGTTCTCTAACTCTGATCCCATGTCCAAGGCCATGTTGCGCAAATTGCCAAGCATTGAGTTGACTTGTCCCAAATTCTCATCCATTTCATCTTCGCGTGCATCGTTGGTTATGCGTGCTATATACCCGGATTGGGGAGGTGCTCCCATGCCGCCACGTTCCCGTTCGTCTATGACACGCTGCGGCTGGCTAGCGACAACCTTGCCATCGTCGTTGGCTTTCCAGGCACTGTCGCTGTCATCCTTAATGTTGACTTTCTTCCAGGGCAACACGCAGATGCCGCAGCATTTCTCCATGCCACTGAGATTCTTTTCGGCTTCTCGCATGTCAGCATTGATGCGATCCATGCCCTCCTCGATACGATCGAGCTGCTCGCCCTGATCATCTAGGGCGACCAGAGTGCGTATGCCAGCCTCTTTGGATTCATCCATCAAACTGAGCATACGACGAGTACTTTCTAAAGATTCATCGGCCACTTGGGCAGACTTAAGCTGCAACTCTTGCAACTCTGTGCGCGGTTCATTTTCTCCGACTGCAGCCATTACGTGATTATTAAGTACGGGTGTTTACGTCAAACTGATGACTTAGCAAGTGGTTGCGATTTTTTCTCTGTTTAGGTTCGCGAAATTTAGGAAGTGAGTCACAATCCGTGCTGACGCCACCACAATGGGTTTATAGGAATTATCGTTATGTCAAGCTCGTTTCTTTATAATAGGAACTGGAACTTAAATTTCACTAATAATGATCGAAAATTTATCTTAGTTTGTACAATATTTTGGCAAGTCTTTTTATGCAAATACAAGAACCAATTGTGTATATACAAAATTTATCGACATACATATACACGACACCGATAACCGATAATCCAGGGCTGTTCAATATCGAATTATAGCAAGCCTCGAAGTTGTAAATTTCAACAGATATTACTAAAAACTATCAGTACAATATTAGAACAGCACAACATATAATTTAAGCTGAGAAAATATACATATATAAAAAAAAAATTTTGAACACTCACCGCGCAGCTGCAATTAATTTTTACCGCCGTTCATACATAAGTGGTTGGCGCGTTTAGTGTTGGGTAATACATTTGAAATATTAACGAATAGTTGTTGGTACAGCCAAGGCTAAGCGTCAGTGATCTTCAGCGCGAGTTTTTTGTAATTAATTATTTAATATAAGCTAGGAATTTATATATATTGTGCATCACTGTAACACAAAATTAAGCGAAGAATTTTTGATACTCAGTTCAACTATGGAGAATTCCAGTCGTTCAGTTGCTTCCGGCGAAGAAAGCCTTAGTGTTTATTTGTCCTTTGACGGCGATTCCGATGACACGCTGGCCAGCAAATGGCAATCGGCAATGGCCTCGCAAACTAGTCACTATTTAGAAATGCAAAACATGGATCAGGACCTAAAACATGACGAAACACTGGAGGAGAAGAAGAACGATATGAAAACAATACTTGACACTCTAATGAAGAACGACATTTCCAAGGATCAGGGCTCACCATTGCGCCCTTTTGACAAAAGTATTTTAAATAAACACAACGCATTGAGCTCGACGCCTACAAAAAATATGACAATGCATGCCATGCGTCCAAATTCGACAGTAGTGGATGCCGAAAAGGAAAATACCCAGCCAGATGAGCAGAACTCAACATTGTCGTCCACCATAGACGCCACAGTCTCCACAGTGAAAACCAATACTATGTTCAGCGAGGCAAATGTGACACTTGAAGAAAACTCGGTGAAGGAAAACAATAATAAGAGTAGTGTTTACCCTTTGAGCGCCAATGTTGTGCTCGAAAATATAACGGAAGGTAAATAGCAAAGTAATATTTGTTTTTAGTAGCTGCTAAAAATATGTTTCTTTTAATCTCTCAGTTTCTGCCGAGGAGACCGCCATATCCGTACTGTCTGCTTCTCCGATAGTTGCAGCTGATCGTCCAGCCTCAAATGACAAGCCGCCCATAACTGTGCCATCTGCTTCTTCTGTTGAACGCCCATCTTCATCTGTTTCTACTTTAACTGCAGTTGATCATCCAGTTTCAATTGAGAAGCCACATATAACTGTATCGGCTGTAGATAATCGCCCAAAATCTAGCGTGGAGCCATTTATAGCTATACCGTCTACGGCTCCATTGGTTGCATTTGAACAGGAAATCAAAGCAAAAGAGGCTTCTGTGGTCAATGACATGGTAAATGAAGTGTCCGAATTGATTGTCAAAGCTCTCAAGCTCACAGAGTGCTCAAGCAAGCCCGACAAATCAACAAAGCTACCAGCAGTTCCTTTGCCACGTCCTCGTCGCTCCTACCTGCCTACAGCTAGTGGCACCACGTTCAAGCAGCGTATGTCGATTGTTGTGAAAACCACATTGAATAGTCCAGCACGCAAGCTAGCTATAGGTAATCCCGTTTCTCGCCGTAGCTGCTTGCCCTCGACCAAGAGTGTTCCCATAGGGAACAGTACCTACCGCCAATCCCTGTTGCTGCGTTCCTGTACTGAAAATTCGTCTAGCAATGCAATCGTCCTACGGGCAAAAAAACCAGTTGTGGGCGTAGCTACTGCCACAGCTCGACCAATACTCCAATTTAAGTGCCGATTGTGCACCGCCAGCTTCATTGAGAAAAAGTCGCTGGATATGCACATGGATACGCACATGAAGAGTGCATTAGCCACGCGAAACAAGAACTCGTATTTCTGCAAGTATTGTGATAAGAAATTTGTCCTGGAACGCGCGCTACACATTCACCTGATGGAGAACTGTGACAAAATACCACCAGGAGAGAAGCGTAAGCTCTCATTCACAGAGTTGAATCATGTTCAAAAGGCCAAGTTGCCTAAGATGACTAGTAACACGGCAGTTGGAAGTTCAGACAGCTCTTCCAAGCCGCGTGCTAGCATAATGCATCAGTTAGAGAAACAGCCATTCATAGGTAAGTTCAAGCCAAGGCCAGGAAGAAAATCCTTTGTTACATTCTCTGCGTTTGCAGCCCCCAATAGCGGTGGAGCTGTAGACCCAGCACCCAAAGATCAAATGCAAATGGTGCCACCATCTGTCAAGAAGGCTCCTAAAAGTGTGGCCCATGCTGGTGTCTATCGTACGCCCACGAAATCCGTGCCCTGCCACATCTGCAAGCAGTCATTCAAGAGCATCCTCGACTACACCAACCACTGCCTGACAGTACACTCCAAGAACAAGAAGCCGGCCACAGCTGCTGCACTGAGTGCTCCAAAGGAAGATTAAATCAAATGCCTTAGATTAAGTTGTGTTTACTTTAGAGTTATCAAATATACGATTAAATGATTAAATTGCTCGCCAATCATTTCGATTTCTTCTCAGGCGGCGGCTTCATGTCTATGCTCTCCGTTGCCACATCCAATGGCCCAATGGCATGATTCTCTGCTGAATTCGCGCCCATGCTGCCTTCGGTTCCCGAGGCTACTTGCAGTGGCTGCTGCAAATTTTGTAGCATCGGTGGTATAGGCGGTGGGAATTTACGTAATAATTCGGCCAACAACATGTCCACACGTTGCTTTTGGAAGAGAGTGCCACTGTTGTCATCCTTGGCTGCATTCGGATCCTTTTTATCATTTTTAGACTTGTCAGACACTAAAAGCAATATATGATTATTTGCAAATCTAGAATATAATAGAATAACAAATACTACTTACAAACTTTGTTGGACGAAAAGTCCCAATAGTAGCCCTTGTTGGGGTGATAGCGCGCATAGCTGCTGGCTTCCTCGAATGCGGACTGCAGATTAACAACTGTGTTAAGCTGAAAATATACCATCATTTTATGTTTAAGCAGAAAAAAAGAGACTACGCTATACTCACAATACGCGCGTTTATAACGTTGGCCAGATCGGGCGCTTTGTATACGGTGCCTCCAATTATATAGTAATCGGCAATTGGCGTCGCCTCTGAAGGATTGTAACGATGCTGCTTGCGGATGACATAGAGAATAGGTTCAGCGACGTGAAGCAAAATATACTCCATGCCAACCATATTACTGTAATTATGAGATAATTCAATAACTGAATCTTCAATTAATTGCATGAAATACCCACTGTAAGTGCTCAATTCCCAGACGTTGCATTCTTATCGTTTCGTTGTTGCAGACGTGGTCGTAGAAGGGATTGCTCTTACGACAAAAGTAGTCCATAACGGTCTGTGGACTTAATGTCGCCATCATCTGGGTATCGTGCCAAGATAAACGTAAAGGGTTTTCTGGTGCCTGCGCCATTTGTCGGTTCGCCATTTCAGCGGCTGTTGCACGTGAATCTGTCAGTGTCAATGGCTTGCTGCTATTTGCTGCGCGAGCGTCTTTCCTCTTTCTCAGTTTGTTTACAAATTATTTATAGACTGTACGCTGCCAATTTTATAATGTTGCACATTGTCGATATGTCTTTATTTGATTTATTTGTTGTGTAATAATTATTTCAGTGTCGCGAACAGAAAAATTCAACAGCTGCTCCTTGGCAAATATAACGGCACTAGGTCGCTGTAAGTTCACTATTAAACTGTTAATTGCAATGGATGTGTCTTATCATTGATTTGTAAGATGTCTGCTGTAAAGCGCAAGTAGTTCACTTTTTTGTTATTTATATTTTGTTGTTTATTATTTCCGATGTATTTATAAATGCTCGATAATTTGTGGTGGCCAGCCGATTCACTTTGCCAGAAAGTTGGCAGTGCGCTGCATTTATCAACAAGGTGGCAACATACCTTCGCTCCACACGTATGAAAATATTAAACAATATGTTTAAAAATAAAACAAAGCGTAACGGCTGCTGTTAAAATTAAAATCATATTTGAATTAAAGCATAGAGACAGGGCTGACACATACATATCAAACCAAAAAATTCTCTTGTACAAAGTTAACCAAGCGTAAACTGTTGTTGCCGTCAACGCCGTCACTACCGCCACAAATACAAACACACAAACAAAAAATTATCATCAACATCAATTGTATATTAAACTTTTGCTCGGCCTGCGGAACTTGGCCCATTTTTCGGATCGTCAGAATTGGAAATTATATCAGTGCGCTTTGTACGTTTCGTCGTGGCGCTCGTGAGGAACAACAACGCAAAGAGCAAAGAGTGCTCGCAATGGTAAACAGCAACAAAAAAATCAATAAACATTGTTCAACAATTATAAATCGAGTTTAAGTATGTGTGTGTGTATGCTGTGCTATGTACATGAACAACCAATTTTATTAGTCACTTGTTTGTATGTATGTTCATATATATGTATGTATGTACAATGGTAGTCATATGCTTAAATCTTAACCAATTTCTCAAAATAATGTGCTTAAATATGTTTATACATAATGTTATTTGCCGAATCGGCTAGTCAAGGTCGTGCAGTGTCGTTTACGTTTAGAAATACATTTTTTTATGAATCACCTTGATTTTCGCGGACAAAAATATAAGCAAACACATGCGTATGTAGTTGTGTAGTAATGTATATATGTATGTATGTATTGTAGAATGTGAATATATGTGGGTGCTTTTTCCATGACTTACCGCCCACATTCTAGTCGCGGTCACTAAAATGAAATACATATGTATATAAATACTCAAGTAATATAGTGGATTTGTTTATAATTAGCTAAAGATTTTGTTATTATCTCAAAGCTTTGCAGTACTTGAATTCAAGTTCAACGCTCGGCAAATGTTATTTCCATTATGTTTTAAAAAGAATGTCTTTATGAATGTAAATTACAAATTCAATTGACTAGTTATGAGATTTTACTCATAATTGTTTTACTCATATTGTTATTTATAATAATTTACTCAACATAATTTATACACTACATATACATATGTATGTAGCGTAGTACTTCACAAGTCAAATGTCAAAAATAATTGTCCAATGTGTACAAATTGCAATGTTACATACTCCATAGCCAATCTGTTCTAAATACACATACATATAATCCAGTTGTTCGCCTGTATATAAATCAGAAGCATTTTAACAAGTGTTAGTTTAGTTGTACTTCGATTCGAAACGAATAGAATTTTATTTGTTCTCTTTTAGATTTTGTCACTTTTCGGTAGCCTGATGCTGGCACAACAACAGTCGGCCCAATTAGTTTATCAGTTAAGGCGATATGCGTTATGTTAAACGGGAGCCGTACTATGAGGTAGCTGGACCACTCATAGCCAAGCAAATGCAATGCCGAATTATTTCTTTAACAGTTATATTTATTGGCATGTTGCTAGTATATTTGATTTTTTTTACAGGGGCTTCCACCGTTCAATGTTTCCGGCAGTCCATTCAATGTGGTGCCTATTCACAACGCTCCCGAGCTAATGAAGGATACATGCGCGCTCATCAACTCCGAATGGCCGCGCTCGGAGACTGCACGCATGCGCTCTCTACAAGCTTCTTGTGATACGCTGCCTTGCAGCCTGGTTCTGACCACGGAAGGAATGTGTCGTGTGATAGCGCACCTGAAGCTCAGTCCGATCACATCCAAAAAGAAGGCTTGCTTTGTAGAGTCTGTTGTTGTGGACAAGTCGTACCGTGGCCAGGGCTTTGGAAAGTTAATCATGAAGTTTGCCGAAGACTATTGCCGTGTGGTGCTCGACTTAAATACAATTTACCTGTCGACCATTGACCAGGATGGTTTCTACGAACGCATTGGTTACGAATACTGTGCCCCTATTTCTATGTATGGACCGCGCCACTGCGAGCTGCCTAGCTTACAAAATCTTAACAAGAAATACATGAAGAAGGTCTTATAGACGTCAGCACCAGTAGTAGTAGTAGTATTGGCTTAACCAACCTGCGAACGGTTCCAACTTGACCGGAGCACGTCTGTTATACTAGTCAAATTGGGCAAACGCTTGGGCTTAGTCCCATAAATATATAGTATACATATATATAGAAACTGCCAAGCGGCAGAGCCGTCGAAGCCTTCAAGCGTTTGCTTCTGATTCCATTACGATTACAAAAGAAAAACAAAAACATTCATATTACGCTCGTGTTGATTTTTAAATATTACTTTCCGCATGTATTTTTTGTTACCGTTATCGACCAATGCTTTACCACACACACCCACATAGACACTAAGTAATTGGCGTGTTATAAAATATATTGCTCATAATATATTGATGTTAATTTAGTTATGTATTATTATTAATTTATGATTTATGTTCTCATGATTTGTTGTGGCGTTATTTGCTCGAATGCTAATTAGACATTATCTACCTACATATGATAGCTCAATTATCTTCCAAATAACTGTAGAATAGATATACATATCGAGATTGGAAACGTAGCATTAAGCGACAAATGTATGGCAATAAATTATATTAAAGTTGTAGACATTTTAAGCGCATTGTGTTTTATGTGATTAATCGAGGAATGCACGAAAGACAAAACGGAAGCACCCATCTGCTATCTGTCGTAAGAAATCTATGACAAGTTCAAGTTCATGGTGCTGCGACAAGCCAAAAATTGATGTGTGCCCACCCGGTAATGTTATTTTTATTACAGCTGCATCAGAAATAGGCGAGGCACAGTCGGTCGTCCAACGAGAGAGTCGAAAGTTTCGTTACAATATTTCATTTACACGAAAATAAACCAGAATCGTGAGCGCAAATGAGAGCAAATGTGCCGATGTGTGGGTGCATACAGTAAACTGTCGATAGACGAAATGCTTTTGTGTGGAACTGTGGTGTAATTGAAATTTAGAATCTCGGAGAAATTTAAGAGAAACTTATTCAAGTGCAAACATCTCTCAATTGCTATCAAGCAATTAAATATATTATGAAACATATTCAATATATGAATAGAGACCTGTACTTGGACACATTTTAGTAGTTTTCTCTCATATTATTCTCGTGCACTTGTTTAATGAATATTGGCATTGGGCCTGAAAGCGGAAACAGCAAGCAGCTTGATCTGTGGCCTCATATAGTTCTTGCTAGCTCGTGTAAGATTTCTGCAGGTGCACATTTTCGAAATACCCGCATGACGGGCTATACGACAGCTGCTAATGGCTAGAAATTTCAGGTGTCTGACCGAACATGCGCCGGATAGCCAATTGATATCGCACGTAATTGCAATTTAAATTTATTTATTTTTTAAAATGGAAAGTTTACAGTGCGCATACATAATATACACACACGCACATCCATACATGTAGATAAGTATGAATATATCAAATATTATTTATTGTTAGTTTGCCTTTGAAAGGTTTTAATAGCATTGCTAATTGTACGTTAATAAAGAACCAACTGCAGATTGATTCCCATTTATATGCGTAGGGGATACTATATTGCTGATGTCATGCCGATCGTCCATTTGAGCGTATTATTTAAGCGCTCTTAGCGCTTTTGGCAATGCCGCAAACCTTGCCATAATGTTCAGGCTGATCTAAGGAATCTACAATGAATTTAGCCAAGTCTTCTTTGGATACCAATCGTCCAGGTGCTTCATCGTGCACCACGGTATAGCTACTGGCTGGCTCATCGGCGATGTGTGGTGGCAAAATAGCCACATAGTCCAAGCCGGATGCTTTTGTTAAGTCCAACATGCGCTGGTGCTCCTCATTTAGTTTGTGGAATACAGCGGGTACCTCGGTCAGAGGACGCAAAAGGAACGACGACATCACAATGGAAAACTTCCTGAGATTTGCATCCTTCATGGCCTTTATGACGTTCTCGGTGCCGCGAGAGAGCTCCGTTGTGGCCTCCAGTTTATTGCGTGTGCCCAGTATAACGCAAACGCCGTCCACTACGCCATCGCCCTCAATCAGACGCTTAACGTCCTCTATATTAGTTACATCGCCCTGAACTAATTGAACTTTGCCTTTGAAGCGCTCCGGCACGGTGGGCTCTGTGCGGTAAAGTAAACGCACTTTCAGACCTGAAAAAACATTTAGGTTTACTCACATGAACTAAATTGCAAAGGTTGTACATTGTACATTACCCTTTTCTAATGCATAGTCCACTACGCATTGACCGGTCATGCCGGTGCCACCAATTACTGCAATCCGTTGCATAATGCTCCTATCTCTTCTTTGTGTTGGAACGAAATGAAAGCCACAGGCTATGCTGTTAACACTTTTCAGTAATTGAATCAAGAAATAGCAATATCACAGTATTCAATTCCTGACTTATCGCACACCAATTACAATCAAAAGTGATTGCCGTTTTGCGCTGCTCACCTGAGTTGTCCAGCTGATTATGCCTTACATACACACACACACACAGATGCATGCGCTATTAATGTGCAGTGCTCGTAAGCGCCGTCAGCTTTATAAAAAAGATAAAAAGTAATCAGTAAGATATGTTATCTACTCCCCTCCACAAATACTTTTATTTACAAAAATTCACTACAAAATGTAAATTGTCATGAAGACATTTGAAATTGGATAGGGTTATCTAAGTGCCTGAAAAGCAACTTTAAGTATTAGAAAAGTTTTAATTAATATAAAATCACTGCGCAATTAACGAAAATATCGATAACGCTTCGTAACTAGATAGTGACATAAGGAAGATAATGTTAATTGTTAAAATGTACAATATTTAAAATAAGTAACTTTAAAATTACGTTGTTAGGGTGGCCAGACTTTAAGAAATACGAATTAATTTCACTGAGGTGGTCAACTTGCCCACAAAGTCAAGCGTTGCCCCATTAATTTCAAAAGTTACGCGCGTAATTTTTACGCTTGTGACTCCTCCGTATTTGCCGCTGAATAAGGATTATCTGCGGGATTTTTCACGCGTCTCAGAGTAATACCCAATTTGAGCTCACTCAAGAAGTCGGTTGTAGCTGGCTTCTTTTCAGCACGCGGCTTAACGCCACTTATTGTAGCTGCTTTCTGATTGACTTTCTGTAAAATTGAAATCATTCTAAAATTTGTTAAAACATTAATGAAGTGGATAATGACGCACCTTTAGTGATACGCCTTGTCGTATGCTTTCTAAGAAAGCATCACGATCACCAGCTGGGGCAGCTGCCCCTGCCTTTTTAATGGTCAACGGTTGGGCGGCTCCAAGCGCTGGCGGTGGTGGTTGTGGCATTGGTCCACCCACTGCTAATGAAGGTGGAGGCGGTGGTGGTGGCGGTGCTCCTGATGCCGGAGGTGGTGGTGGTGGTGGAGGCGGTGGTGCATTTGCTTGTGCTGAGTTCTTTTGCTTTTGGGACACTTGCACAGGAGGCATTGGAACTTGCACTGGAGTTTCCTTAATGGGCGGTGGAGTTGGCTGTTTGACCGGTGCATACTCCATTGGAGGTCTGCTCCAACTGGGCTGCACAGGTGTGGCCTTAATAGGGACTGGAGGCGGCTGCTTAGTCGGTGAAAACTCCACTGGAGTGCTGTTCCCATTGGGCACAATCGTTGGTTTTGGTGGCGCCGGGGGAGCCACTCGTATTGTGGCCACCTTTCGTTGCGTTTGAGGCGCAATCGTGGCATACGTTTCGTTCTGCAGCTTGGGTTTAGGTGTGGGACGGACTTCTATAGCTGATGGATAGATGTGAGTATTGGCCGCAGTCACTGCCGAGGGCGGAGGAGGTATTTTGGGTCTGTTCGGCTGCGTTGACTGTAACTGAACAGGTACAACTGTGCCCACATCCTGTTGCCTGCTTTGGTTCGGCTGCGCTGAAGCCAAGTCCATATCAGATATATCCCTAAACCGAGATGTGAGCGTTGCATAGTTGGAATAGGAAGAGGACGAAGGAGCCTGCTTAACCGTTGCTGGTGCAGGTGGTGCTGGCGGTGGAGGTGGACGTGTTGCAATTTCATTGTCTGTGGATATGGTGGCATACAGAAGCTTTGGCATCTTTGTCTCCTGCCTTTGCGTTTGCTGTTTCTTGGGCTGTAATAGGGAGTTAGATTGGCACTTGTATAATATGTAATATAATTTGAGTGATGTCCATACCATCCATGTGAAATTAGAGTGCACAATATTTTTAATCAGGTCCTGCCGCCGGATGCCGGCCACATCCTCCTCGGTAATGCCGCGCTCCATCATGTACTTCTTTAGCACGTTGTCATTTGCACCCGCATTCAAATCGAAGGCATTTCGCGTGCGATCTCGAGTTACGTCTCCGGAGACATGCTGGAAGCCGACGGGCCCGCTTATCTCATACTTGGAGCCCTTGTTGCTGACCACGACGCTGGTGGCAAAGCTGGGGCCTGGAACGGCGCCTGAGGCGCCTGTGAAGCTGCCTAAGCTATTGGACGAGGATGATTTGCTCATGCTTAGGCTGGCACCGTCTCCAAACAAGCGGCGTTCGCTGCCTGGTGATGCTCTGATTGCGGGCGGTGGTAGAACGGCTGGCGGAGGCTGGTCGAAGACGTTGCTGCTCACCTGCATGCAGGGCGGCTGTAAGAAGAAGAGAAAACGACCTGCTATTTAACAATGATAATGGTAATGATGATGATAGTGACACTGATAATGATCATGAGGATGACTAGCATGGTGATTTCCACTGCCATCTCTTTTCCATTGGCAATTACCACCCAGTAACCGGGGCCTTTATGGCTTCGAACTATGTCATAGACATAGGCGCGCCGCTGCATCGCCGGCATCTGCTCAACCTCGTCGGATAGGTGGGCCTTGCGCATATACAATTGTAGCATCTCATCGGTGCCGAGACCTCGCACATCGAACGTCTTGCGAAAATCGATGGGTTCGCCCTCCAGCTGCCTAAACTCCACCGGCTCGGAGATGTAGGCGTACATCGCCGTACCCACATCCATGCCTTTAGCACCCTGAACAGCCTGAAAAGCGATACGTGTACGGGCACTGCATTAATGGCGCTGCTATTAAAGAGCTACGACTGCCAACCGCTGGGCTAGGCCAGGCACCCATACGTATCCGTATCCACGGTGGCGCATTATCTTCTAGCAATTCGCCGATAAGAAATGTTCGCGCAGCTCGTTTTATTTAGTTTTTTTTTTTTTTTTTTTTGTTATCAAATCACGGATTTTTGCCGTTGCTTTGCTGGTGAATCATAGAGCCAAAGACTCAGGCAAAGCAAAGACAAAGACACGCATCCAAGACGGCCCACTGACACGGGCGCCATCTCTGCTCTATATATGTACACATTACATATTAATTCGCATTCATTTACCGTAATGGAATCTTGTAAGACAGGCGGACCCTTGCTGCTGTCGACCGACCAATTGGCGTATAGAACTAAATTCCGTAGGTGTTTACCGTGCCGTCCGGCCCAAACTAAGGTATCGCACTGATTAACGGAGGTGGTATGTCATCGCATATACTCATTTACTCATTTTGCGAGGCTTGTTATCTGGAAAGGCAGACACTGATAACTGCCACCCAGTAATCGCCTTCACCTGGAGCGCTGTTTGGCATCGACAGCTTGAGCCTAAAAGAAAACATAAACAATGAATATGTATATACACATACATATGTATAAACACATATACATAGAACATTTATATATATGTACATATATACATTTCTATCAATTTATATTAGTATCTTAAACATATACATACATCGATATCTGGAATTAGATAAGTTTGCGTAGTATATCATTTAGTATAGTATGAAGTTAATCGTGCCTATAAAATGACTAACTGCGCAAGTTGTTCAGTGTTCGTTGTACATTGATATTCTGAAACAAAAGTGAAAACTAAAATTCTTATATCATCTATGGAAAAGTATGTACATATGTACATAAGTACCAGCCATGGGTAAAACCAGGCAAACCAGTAAAAAACTAAAATAATAAAGAATAATAGTTGCAACATCATTAAAAACTTTTAATTTAAAAAAAAAAAAATGTAAACAAAAGCAAAAAAAAAAAATATTAATACAAATTTGAATTTTAAATATCTAAAATTAGAAATTATTGCTATTAAAAATATCTAAATATAAACATTCACTTTAATATTATCAGTCAGTTATTGACGGAAATATCCGGAAGATAAGAAAATTATGTTTGGAATTTAACATAGACAAACTGATTCATGAAAAAAGCCCGTTAACTATGTCATAATTATTAAAAAGATTTTGGTATACATCTAGAGCGAAATTCGTTTATTTACTTTTCCAATGGGAACTTTCTGTTTATTTATCGCCTGAAGGCCTTTGTAGCTCTGGGTTAACAAAAAATTGTTATTTAGAATTAATTCTTAGTTACAATAAATAAATAAATAAATAAATTGATCGTGTTCCATGTGGTTTTCGTTATTCCTAAACTTCTTAATGCTATTTATTTTTATGATGAGTAACATATGATATGATTTTGTAATAATTGTAATTATAATAATAATAATATAATAATAATAATAATATAATAATAATAATATAATAATATATAATAATATAATTTATAATATATAATAATATAATTTATAATATATAATAATATAATTTATAATATAATTTATAATATAATATATAATATAATTTACAATATAATTTACAGTATAATTTTTTTCTTCTATTTATTAATTATACATAATATATGTACATAATATATGTATGTATATATACTCTGAGTCCCTTCAAGGGCAAAAATGCATTTTGTTCTTATTAAAATGTATGCAAAAGAATGGGTATAATAGTTTTGTTAAATGTATGAACAGGCAGAAAGCGCTTTGGTAAGTATTTCTTCTAAGTTTTTCCTCCAAGTATTTCCTTTAAGAATTTCTTCTATGTGTGAGTATTTCGTCTAAGGAATTCCTCTAAGCTGAACAATCATTGAATATGTGCACACACTTCTCTTCACTTTACTGCACTGTACGAGTGACCCCCACCAGGCCTGGGCGACTGAAGAAATGCTGCAAGTGCTGCCCTTTATATAGGGCTACTCTCACTTACACACCGAGTTGCGCTCAACTGTTGAGCCCGACGTTAGGTAGGGCTCGATGCAGCGACCAATAGGAACACTCTCTGCGGCTGCTATCGACCTTAAGGGACCAATGGGAACACTCTCTGCTGCTGCCAGCTTTCGAGATTCGTTTTACTTAGGTATAAATATGAAATGTATACTGCTGCATACATAGAGACAATTTACATGATCTTTTGAGAGTCTGAGAGATAGACTGCGAGACAGATATACAGACAAAGATATATGTATATATAAAAATCAAACGCTTAGTTAAATCGGTTTACATAAACAATATAAATGTTTGATATGCTAAATAGTTTATGTACTCTAATATTTATAATTATTAGATGGCAAAGCCAGCAGCTTCTTCTGTTTTATAAAGACTGTTGACTGATTACAGCCTAAAGCTTGAGAACGTGTATGTGTGCATATATGTACATATTTATGTATGTGCTGTTTCTTGTGTAAGCAGAAAATAAGCCAAGAATTATTGGCATATCAGTCACTCGAAGGGCTTAGAGCAGTCTCGACTATATCTTTCTTGATTTTACATTATTTTGAGAGTTCAAAATTTAGCAATTTTGATCATCATATTATTTACTTTACTTTACGTTCAAGATTTTCATTGGACATATTTGTTGACACATTTTCAAATTCTTAACGTAAGCTACAGCTCGTGCTGTCAATCAAACTGAAACCTTGCTGAGCATAGCAACCCTTTTTTCAACTTTCACCGACAAATTTATTAATGAGGGGCAGAGTACTCTGCTGAAAACTTCATTTACAATAAGAGACGTTGACGAAAAGCATCGCAATTCATTAAATTTAAGGCTTCAAAATAACAAATAGTACAAACAAATCAGAAAATGGATCCGAATTTAGTTTTGTACGGGGATGGTGAGTTCTTAATGGCTGAATTTGAGCTCGATGGAGATCTGGTTGTGAACAGCGATGAACTGCAGCCAGGCGCCACTGTGTTGGTCACCAATGAGACAGATGGCGTTGTTAGCCACGAGGAGTTGGCCAAGTTTTTGGAGATGCAGCCGAGTATTCCGATACCCACGGACGAGGCTGTAGAACGCACTCTGGCTGATCCGGCATTGAAGCAGATCCTGCAAAAGGCCGATGGCAAGGTGGACTTTGATCCCGAGGCCGAACAAGAAAAGCTGCGCGAGTTCCTGTCGGGAGTGAACAGCAAGAAGACAGTTGCGGAGAATGCTGCCGCTCCAGCTGAGGCTGTGGCCCAAAAGCCGCTGCAGGCATTGGTGTCGCAGCCACGCCCCCCAGGGCCGCAGTCAACAGTTTTTCGTTTCATCAAGTGCTCCAATTGCAATGGCCTCTTTGACACGGTCTCATTTCAGAATCACAACTGTGAGTACGACTCGGAGCAGAAGCCAACAATTCGAACGGCAGCAGTGCAGGAGAAGAAGCCATCCACGCCGCCCATAAAGGCGCCCAGTGAGCGCATCATCGTTGAGAACCAGGTGCGCATTCGTCGCTATATGAAAGACGAGCTCAAGTACGATCTAGAGACTGGCTTCGACAGCTCCATGTCCAAAAAGGCCAACACGAAGGGCCCCAACGAGTGCAGCATCTGCGAGCGGAAATTTGTGCACACCTCCGGCTTGGTTCGCCACATGGAGAAGCATGCGCTTGACTTGATCCCCACACAGTCAAGCATCCAGCAACAAAATGTGGCTCCCTCCGCGCTGGGACTGCTGGTGGTGCTCAAATGCGACCACTGTGGCCGCATCTTCTACGACGTCAAGCTGGCGCTGGAGCACATCTTTGTGCATCAGTTGCCCACGAATGTAGCTGAGGTCGAGCCTGTGGTTGAGGATGAGGCTGTTCTGAAGAAAGAACTCAAGGAGCTCATGCTGGAGGGCGAAAATCTGCTCTCTCTGACCGCCGAGCTGGGAAGGATGTCGCTCAAGAGCGGGGATGAATATTTCACCACTCTCGTTCTCGGCAATGTGTTGCAGTGCGAGTTCTGCGACTTCATCTTTGCGGATGTGTCCTTCCTGCTGGCGCACTCGGCCACGCATGTGCCGGAGCGTCGTTTCGAGTGCACCGCTTGTGATTTGCGAATGACCACCGCCAAAGAGGCCAGCGTCCATTATCAGACAGACTGCGTCTATATGCGCGAAGGGCTCAAGCAGCTGCAGGCGCAGCCGAATCGCTTCTTTGTGTGCAACGTGTGCGAACTCAAGTTTGCCAACGTGGAGCTGCTCCAGGAGCATCGGTAAGTGTGCTTTAAAGTCTGGCCACAATCAGCAATTGCATCTGCATCGCATCCTCTGCCTTCCGTGCAGCTATAGCTGTTATCACTACTTTCCTCGGCTCAGCGAGAGCGGCAAGCGTCTGGTGCTGCCATGCGAGTTCTGCACCACAAATTTTGAGTACGCGCACGAGATTCAGCCACACTACGAGGAGAAGCATCTGAATAAGAAGAAGCGCGAAAAGGAGCTGCGCAACAGTGGGAGTGCAGCCACGATGGGCCGTTTGCGCCAATATCTGTGCGACATTTGTGGCAAATCCTATACGCAGTCCAGCCATTTGTGGCAGCATCTGCGTTTCCACCAAGGTGAGTGGCAATGCAGTTGCCAGCTACTTACATGTAGCTAACGTTGTTCAATTATCCAGGTGTGAAGCCCTTTGTGTGCCAGGAGGAGAACTGTGGCCGCAAATTCACCATACGTCCAGATCTTAATGATCACATACGCAAATGCCATACTGGCGAGCGGCCGTATCACTGCCTGGTGTGCGGCAAGCGCTTCCTCACCGGCTCCGTTTTCTATCAGCATCGCCTCATCCATCGGGGCGAGCGGCGGTACGAGTGCGAGGAGTGCGGCAAGCGTTTTTATCGTGCTGATGCACTAAAGAACCATCAGCGTATTCACACCGGCGAAAAACCCTACGATTGCCCCTTCTGCACCAAGACATTCCGACAGCGTGGCGACCGGGATAAGCATGTACGGGCACGGCACTCGCACTTGGACGCAAATGCACGGCTAATGATGCAGATGCAAAAGTTCGAATTAGAGACGGCAGCCGCATTGAAAGCGAAGCAAATGCAGGAGAGCGGACTTGAATATGTGGTCGATTCGGTAGCCGACACGGTTATGCATTCGCCGACGTCGCCAATGGCGCATGAGCAACAGTTTGAGATGGTTGAATTGGATCCCGCCGATTATGGTGATGGCTCCGAGTATGTGCAAAGTATGCCAATGCTTTCTAATAATGAGGAGCAAGAGCATATGTCGCTCGTAGACCAGAACCGAAGAGAACAAACAGAGAAACCGACTTTCCAGTTAGAAAACAACGAAAATGTGAAAGTTGTGGTGGTAGAAAATAATACTTCGCAACCGTTTTATTTCTAACATATGTATATGTTTCTTTTAGTTTAACTTACCTGTAAATATAATGTATACGTATAATTTTTTTTTAATGTATTGCAAATAAAACACAGCCGCACGCCTTTAAAACAGATGGCATTTAAATTTAAAGTTGATTTGCGGCCAGTACCACATCTGGCAATATTACAATACTTATCAGTGTTAACTATCGCGACTAAACATTGCAATAGGTGGCAACGCGTGCGTTTGACAGTTCAAGTTTCTAGTAGCCATTTTTGCCGTCCTCTTTCTTTTCGATTTTTCCATCGTATACGCCAACATGGGTTTCGCTACTCTCTGGTACTCGCATCCTCGTAAATACGGCCAAGGCTCCCGTTGCTGGTAAGTAAAATGCAGCTAGTAAAATTTTGCATCAATTTCTGTGTAATTTGCATGTATGTCTATTACTTAAACCCGTATTTTGTTGCATAGTAGATTTGCTTTGTGTCTTTGAGGTTAAGCACGCCTTAGTTTCGCATGGCGCATACCGCCCGTGTATTTGTTTGTGTATGTGTATGTGCTTGTACTTGATATTGAAATTGTTTGCTTAAATATCAGTTTGCCCCCGGTTGAGTACGGAAATATGCGAGAACTTCTTCAACAATTTCCTTAATGAAGGGTGGCCAAAGCAAATGTTGTAGCTGGCTCTTGTCATTTTCTATTGGAATGGCGCGGCCAATTGCAGCGACAGCTGTGCAGCTTAATACGATTGTTTAACAGTAGTTACTGCGAATTAATAGCCAAACAAACAGTTAATGTGTGCTTTATTTGATATTTTAGCCGTGCCTGCTCAAACCGACATGGTCTGATCCGCAAATACGGCCTGAACATTTGTCGTCAATGCTTCAGGGAGTACGCCAATGACATTGGCTTCAAGAAGGTAAGTTAATAGTGAAAATATTTCCACTTATGTTCCATATGCTTATTCTTCTTCTATTATTTTTCAGCTGGATTAAATTTCCTCTTCATTCTTTGGCGTTTAATACGTCAATCTTTAAGCATATTAATTTTAGTAGTCGCTTTCGAGGGACTACGTCTATTAATATGCTGGCAACAACAGCAAAAACAGCAACAAAACAGTAATCATCTGGAGATTTAAATGAAACCGAAGGCATCTGATTTTAAGAAAGCACGGACAACATAAATAGAGTATAATCTCAAGTCAATCGCAAACGTCGTCTGCAATTCCAAAAGTCCCTAACATGACAGTTGTTACCTTCTGAGAAGGTTCTTTGTTTAAATCTCCCTTTGATTAAATATATAACAAGTCACGTAAAATATTTTGTTTACCTCTGGATCCTTATTGTATGTCCATTTCAGTGGAAATGCCGGAAGCAATTGAACGACTGCAATGTCTGTTTTCTTGAGTTACTTCCTCATTTCTATAATATTGGGTTAGTGGTGTCCAGTGGGCTGCATTCAAGCTGCACTTGTGTTGAATAGCATCAGCACTTGGAGGAAAATAAGCAACAGAAACCAGTTTGTTTAGTGGCTCGCTGGCTAAAAGAGCGAATTGACGCTCTCTTAGCTGCCTACGCAGCTCGGGCCTCAGCTGTTGCTGTTGCTGCTGGCGCTTTGGTTTGTTGTTTATCTGCTGAAACTTAAAATTTTGCACATTCGCCCGCTGAGTTTGTTTCGACCATTTGAACTCACAACAACGCGTCGCGAGTGCATTACCAACTCGAAGCATAAGGTTTTAAGTGTGAATAGTACCAAGTAAATGCCATGTACGCGGCGCTTAATATTTGAGCGAAAAATAAAAGAAATAAGTAGTCGATAAAAATCAATTTCCATAGATGTGAATAAAACTCGTTGACCTGGTTACGTTTTAATTAAATGAGAAATGCAATTGCCTGTGTATCTGTTGCTTTTGCTGCCACTTCTGAGCAGCTTTTGCGTTGTGGCCACGATCAATGATGCAACAACAGCAGAGGCAGCGACAAGGCATCGCAAAAATGCAACAGCGACACGAGCTGATGCGGAGGCTTTTAACCAAGGCAGTAGCCGTGCTAGCGGTTCCCGCGGCCCCAAATATCGTACTGTTGCACAATACAAGCTGCCGCTGGATGCTACACAGATGACGCTGGACAGCAGAGACAGCACGGTCAGAGCACAGCCTAAGCGCAGGCGCACCCAGGTGGTTATGCGGCGCAGGCCTACCACAACATTTACAACAACAACAACAACGACAACAACAACTACAACAAGTGAGTTCAGTTTAGACCGGACCTGCATTAAATGGACTTTAGCCTATGTCCATATGACCGCTGCAAAGGCAAGCAAGTCTTGCCGCTGGCACTGACCTAGCTTTCGGTTTATAAGATTGGTAAAGACAACTAACAGCAGCAGCCAACAGGCCGTCTGAGAAGCTGTCTGACTACGAAAAGAAAACAACCAACCGCATTCGATAATTATGCGGCTGATAACTGGAGCAGTCGCTGTAGCGCTCAGCTTTCAAATTCAAATTGTTGGCTTTTTTAGTAGTCGTGAACGACCTTGATGAGCGGGACGCGCCGTATGCGACTGTAATGCTTAATGCTGCTGCTCGTACTCATTGAAGGCTTTAAGTATTGACTTGCATTTTAGCAAAGGTACTGAATGAAATACACTTATCAAAGATATTGATTATTGCCATCGAATGTCTGCAAACGAAAGCCGCGCAGATTTGAATAGAGGAGCCTTGAACTTGGGCCTTAATTAGCGCGTTTTATGATAAACGAATTTTCGGTTTTTTTTTTTTTTGTTGTGTATTTCATTCGGCATTGAAGTCTAGAGATGACACTTACGGAGTTAACAGATCAAATTGGGTCACTCGATTATTCTCTATGGTCTATTGTTGCAATTTCAATTACAATTAAAACACGTTTTTTGTCTCCCACAGTCTTTAAAGCATATTTCTTGAGGCGTTATTTTTGGCATAGCAATTTATACGTAAAGTAATAAAACATGAGATTAGCTTTAAAAGAGAGAGATAGACACAGACCCAAAATTCAACAAGTCCCTGCTTTTATGCTAATATAAAATTGTTAATGATAAATATTCACATATTGTAAATTTGCCACTTTTAGCTATTTATATTGGGTGACATCGTTTTCACGCAAACAAAAACCAGTAAAAGCTATTAGAATTATGTAAAAGCTAACTACGAAAAAGGTTTACAAATACAAGTTAAGCCGTTCACATTAACTCTAAGTAATACTAAATGCCTTTAATTACATCGTCGCCTAGGAAAACAAATGATATTCTAATTGTTTAGTTAACAATGATGTTTAGTCCCTCCACTGAATACCGTGTGATAATCATTCCAGTCTTTGGAAAACTAGGCCAGTAAGAAGCGTTCATACAGTGAATGGGCATTTGTAATTGGTAACAGAGTACAGTGTGTATCAGGGGAGAGCGGACTGTGTGTTGCTTTGCGCTCCAGCGCCAACGGCAATATGGTGCCTGCAGGCGTACAAAGATTCACTTTCAATAGCATTAACAAAAGCACCTGTTTTACGAGTGGGTTAACTGGGTGACGGGAACTGCGCTTTGGTTGTATTGCAATGCTTGTTATTTGGAGCAGAACTAGTAATGACCATTGTTGACTAATCCATTTATCATTCGTTCAGCGCCCCGTCCAACTTTGGCGAATGGATTCAATTTCTTCAATCCCAGATTTTGGAGCTTTGGCCAGCAGAGCATTGTGCCAGTTAGTGCGCCCACCAAGCAGCCCCATCCACCCAAGAAGTTTACGCACTCAGCAGCAGCCGGCGCGAAGGAGGAGAAGTCCGCTTATCGCAAGCCATTGAAGACTACGCCGAAGCCAAGGCGAAAGCTGAATACCACAATAGCAACAACAACCACCACTGAGGGACCTTTTCGCATAGCATTGCCAACGCTGAACTTCCCAACCACAGCCGCCGAAGCTAGCGATAAGGAGAAGGATAAACGGGCTGCCGCTGATCTGCGACAGCGCTTCAATTGTCCGCGCGAGAACGAGGTGCGCTTCCAGCTGTTTCCGAAAATCTGCAAGTCAGACAAGGACTGTTTGGTCTGGCAGCGGGATGAGATCTGCTGCGACATCTTTGGCTCCAGCAGCTGCGTCGCGGGCATTGCCAAGCCACTCGAGGAGACGGCACACGCACGTAAGTTTACGGCGCACTAGCAGCCATATTGTATGCATTTAACGAAATTCCTGCTGCAGCCATACTGGGCCTGATACCACGTCGATGTCCGACTCGTCCGCTGGCTGAGCTCTGGTGGGATGTGCAGGAGTGTCACACGGACATGGACTGCTGGCCGCGTGTCTGCTGTCCCGATGGTCGCCGGCGCTACTGTCGCACATCTCAGCCGGAACTGGAGACTGTGCCGGTGCCAGTAAAGCGTTCATTTGATTATCGTAAGTGCATTTTCATATATAAGTCTTCCAGCTTATGGTTGATAACTAAATTTTCCATTTTCACAGTTACGGAATACTTGGAGTGCACGGCACCGCCGCCAACGATTTTTGATCTGCATCCAAAGGCTTGCACCTCCACGCTCGACTGCTTTCCCAATGTGTGCTGCCAGGAGGCGGGCTTGCGGCACTGTCGTCCGCCCAAGAAGTCGGTGCTCACACTGATGGCTAATTTCCTGAACGTGGACTTTGTGAAGCGCTTGACACAGAATATTGTTATCAAGTAGCTGCAATTCAGTTAACACAGACACACACATATGCACATTGATCTGCACTCATGTATATACATACATACATGTATACAAACACACACACACACACACACACACACACACACACACACACACACACAGAATCACTCACACACATGTATTCATATTGAAATCTCGTTTATACGAGGATTTATTGTAGAGCTGTTCAAGCTTGTTGATAGCATTAAATTAGTATTTCGCTTGAATTGATTATTTGTATATTGAATACAAATTTATGCAAACTGTTTTTATATAAATTATTTTCAATAAAACGTAAAGACACACGCATGTTTTATAATTCAGTATCGTGTATTTTTATTTTCGAATTTCGTCGTTTTTACGTGTAAACGATCCAATCTACCTGTAGATATGTACTTTTATTTACTTGATTTCGAAATCATTATTGTTCTTCTTCAACTGATAAGTTTTATGTGTACAAGAGTACGTAGATAGGGTTGCTCAAACAGTGAGACCTACTTAAACTGTACTTTTGGTCTTAGATAATAAAGTTGATTTATCAACGCTTCCACTTTGAGTTTTTTCTCCATTTCATTTCTTTTGTTTTTTTTTCTCCCTCTTTTTATGGTCAAAATAAGTCTCAGCAATTGACAGTAGAGTGGCTGAGCCAAAGTTGATGTTGAAAGTTTTTATTTTTATTTTTTTTTATTTACGAAAGGTTAAACGGTGTCTGGTTACCTCTTGGCCTGTGGCATACAGAAGCAATTATAAGATTGCTTCAATAGAATCAGCGAAGGTTTCGTTCTTACCTTGGCACAATGTAGCCACTCGAAATATTGTATGACAAATGCTCGTATTAACTCGGACAATAATAAAAAAAATCTGTCATCTACATGAAACTGAGTGTGTGCACATGTTTATTTAAATGCCTCGATTAAGAAATGAAGTTTAAAGTTTGCATTCGCTTTGCAAATGCTTAATTGGATTTTAGCTCTGAACACGGAAAGTTTTTGGTGCCGAGCGAAAAATTCAAGCTGAATCGCATTCAAATTGAATTCGCTTCAGTTGAGACTGCCTGAGTACAGGTGCTTAAATGTACATACATACATACATATGTACATATGTATGTACTTACATACAATTATTTCGAGAAAAATCTTCATATTTTATAAATGGAAATTGAACCAGAATTTTCTAGACAAAGAAAAGAATCAAGTTAGACTTTCAATTGGGTATATTGGGTATATTTCTTTACAAATTAAGATATTTCGAGAAAAATCTTTGAGTAGTAAGCATGGAAAATTAACCAGAATATTCTTGAAAATTCAATTCAATTAATTATATTTATTGAAGCCTGAGTTAAATATGTTTTTTATTTTTCATATTCATTGAATTTTGCAGCTGTTATAACAATATACTCTATAAAACATCTGCACATTTATACTCATATACATAATTATATTGATACATACATACATATGTATATACCTACGTATGTATAAGTGTGTGTTTAAACTACAGTTATTCTTTAAGCAACTGCAACGCCAGCAGGCGCGTTTCGAATTTCCCACTAAGTGGCGAAATAAATACGAAAGGAAAACGAAAAACTCGCCCCTACTAGAAAAACAATTGAATGATTGCACAACAATTGACATTTAGTGGAAACGACGCAGTAAAAACTTTAATTTCAATTTGGTTTATTGCACATTATTCAATTTGTGTTGCTGAATGAGCTTTTCTTCACATGTATGTACATATTTATGTATGTATGTTTGTAGGTTTGTATGTAGTTGTCTTCGAAAGAGCAGTAAAAGATCGAATCTAATTATAACTTAATGAATGTATGTATGTATGTATGTAAGTATTGGTGTGTACTATTGCTGACGAGTTCACTTGGAGCAGCCGCACTTGCTTTTGTTCTCTCCGCCGCATTTGCAGTCACTGCCACAGTTGCAGGAACCCTTGTTGGTCTGAGAGGCGCATTTGCAACCTAATAATACATAAATAAATAATAATAATATTAAGTTAAAGTGTTGATCGGCATTTCTTTGCTTTTATTTATTTGATATCCTTTGGCTGACTTACCGCTTCCGCATGGGCAAGGCATATTGAATGGATTTTTTTTAAGACTGTCACTTGAAAACACAAGAAGTAATATTTAGTTTTTCACTTGACTGATGAGTCACTTTCACTTTGCTGCAGAACACAACTGATGCCCAATCCACGGATGCTACCCGATTTTATACACTTTCGAAACGAGGCTTTCCACACGGCTGCCGGGCGCTTTAATTCCAGTTTTGCACACGCCGACCGGCCGGCCGGCTGAACATGTTCGAGCCGTGTGCAACTAATGTTTTCCGTTTGAAAGCTTTAGCTTAACTGGCGTTGTTTGTGTCTCGACTAAAGCTTTTATTTGGTTTCTAACCGTTGCCCGTTAAGTTCAGTGGACTGCGTTGGCACTGCGCACGCGTTTCTATGTGAGAAAACTCATGTGGTGGATAATGGGCGGTACTGTGACTCTTATCGTGCACCGCATAGCGCACACCGTACACATTCCAAATGTGGGAACCCTCCTGTCTATCTGTCTGCCTGTCCATTCATCATCGGCTTCGGCTGTGACCGTGTCGCTGTGCCCTGCGAATGCGCGAAGAGTCAGTGTATTTCCGATTTCTGAGTGCGGCTGCAACAGCAGCTAGCAGGCAAAAGTCGCGCGACATTTTAGCAACGAATTTAAGTGCAACGCAATGCAAGAACTGAATGTAAATAATACGCATTTTATTCAAGTTATCCTTGCTGACAGACACGCCAGCAAGCGCGAAGAGGCAGGCGACAATTTGCTGTATTCTCATTTTTATTAATATTTGTTCGATGTGTGTGTGTGGGCGTGTGTATGTGTGCGTGTGAGTGTTGGTGTGTGCGTGTGTTTGTTTGTTTGTGTCCGTTTGTGCGTGTGCGTGTGCTAAAGGTGAAAATGCAACACACATAAAATCAATAAATCCAAGTCAAAATAAAATAACTAAAAATCAACGGCTAACAAAATATTTGTGCGTTCCTGTGTGTGTGAGCGGGTGTGTGCGTGTCTGTATGATTGCGAGTGTGCGTGTATGTTAGGGCGTGAGAAAGAAAACAAAAGAGCAAAACAGTGAGAGGACAATAACCAAAGCGCTGCCAACTAAGGTGGCAACACAGGACACTCTGTGTGTGCGGAAGTGAACAATTTAAAGTTTGTGGTCACCAGAGCAAATAACAAAAATACATACATACATACGTACAGAAAAACACCCACACAGGCTGGCAGAGTGTGCGTGTGTGTGTGTGTGTATATGTATATGCAGAGGAAGGCTCTGTAAGCGATTATTTTGCTCACCCACGCATTTAACTGTTTTTGTTATTCCTGATGTTGTTGTAATCGCCTGCACTTCAAAGCTTCTATTTATACACTAAACTATGAGCGTATGTTTGTGTGTGGGCGTATAAGTGTGCGTGCGTGTGTGTACGAGTGCCAAGCTGCCCATAATGCGGTCGACCTGATACCTGAGCCCAATCACAATCACAATCACAATATCACCCGCTCCTCTCATGCCCAAGCCGCCCACGCTGAAATAATAGTATGTAATCATAATAACAATAACGATGATGATGGCGATAATCATGATGATGATATTGCGAATGACGTTGGCACTAGCTGGCAAAAGGTTAACGCCGCACAGATCTCTCTGTCGTTGCGTTAATTTTAACAAATTGTATTTATACCGAGAGAAAAAATCAATAGCCTACCTTAACATAAACGCGACTGGCACATGGATAAAATTAGCCGCACTCTCACGCATAAATTCTATACATAATTTTAATGTGGAGCAGGAGGCGGAGAGGGGCAACCAAAAAATAAATGCAGACGCAACCCGAGCGAGCCGCTCAACTGACCAATTGATTTGCTGCTCTTAATCGTTGCAGAACCAGAACCAGAGTATGGCGTTCAAGTAAAGCAGAGACGTAGTGGTCGACAAACCTAGCAACACAGCGAGCCTCCAACTCTTGACAAACACTAAACAACCGTAGAGGTCCGACCCACAACACTGTCAGGATGACAGAGCAAAAGAATCAGGTGACGCGCGCAGCGCCGGAGCAGAGCAACGACTACCGTGTGGTGGTCTTTGGAGCTGGTGGCGTTGGCAAGAGCTCTCTGGTGCTGCGTTTCATCAAGGGCACCTTTCGCGAGAGCTACATACCCACCATAGAGGACACCTACAGGCAGGTGGGTAACCATTGCATTCAGCCACAATATAAACACTTTACTTAAGCTGGATTTCAATTCTTGGCGATTGCAGGTCATTAGCTGCAATAAGAATATTTGCACATTACAAATTACGGATACGACAGGATCACATCAGTTTCCGGCTATGCAGCGGTTGTCCATTTCCAAGGGCCACGCATTCATTTTGGTCTACTCCGTGTGCTCGAAGCAGAGTCTAGAGGAGCTGCGACCCATCTGGGAGCTCATCAAAGAGCTGAAGGTAAGCCTCTGACAGAGATAGATGGATTGAGAAGTAGGATAATAGCTCGTGTGATTTTCAGGGCGATGTCAACTCCATTCCCGTCATGTTGGTGGGCAATAAGTGCGATGAGAGCACCGAGCTGCGCGAAGTGTCGCAAATGGAGGGGCAGGCGCAGGCGACCACCTGGGGCATATCCTTCATGGAGACATCGGCCAAAACCAATCATAATGTCACCGAGCTGTTCCAGGAGCTGCTCAACATGGAGAAGACGCGCACCGTCTCGCTGCAGCTGGACACAAAGAAGCAAAAGAAACAGAAAAAGGAAAAGAAATGCAAGGAGACGAACGGAGCCATACCGGAGAACGGAGAGGCCAGCGCCAGTGCCAGTGCCGGAGCCAGTGGCGCCGGCGTGAAGGAGAAGTGCGGCGTTATGTAACCAGTTTGGCAAGCTAAATTCGTGACAGACAAATACTCGCATTGGGACAGTGGCAGGATTTGAGAACTCATCCCTCACAGACACCAACACACATAGAAATACACACACAAATGCACACGAACAATGATTAAACATATGCATATACATATATACTATATATATATATCACACATTGGGACTGATGTTGTCAGAACGTAGCCTGCATAGATGGGAAATATATTATTAATTTTAGATGGAATGAAGAAAACCAAAACGAAAACTATAAGACATCATTACGAGTATATTTTGCATACATAGATTTTAACCTTCTCTGGTCTCTATCAGAATGTAGAAGGCAATCACTGAACCGCCCGCATACTGACACCCACTCGCACGCACACATACACAAGTCATAAAGTCTAAAATTTTCATTTGCATTCGGAAAACGGCATCTGCAACGTAACGGCATACATATCAAATACATAAGCATACTACATACCTAACAGGACATGACATACTCGCACCTACACAATAGATGTGTACATTATACATATATCATAATGCTACATATATATATATATATAAGCACATATATGCATACATATGTGTATCCCAAAGGAAAAGCCAAAGTACCTACTTAAAAGACATACAATTTTATCTACTTACTAGCAAAGATGATAAGCCAATTAGCAGGGCTATCTATCTCATCACATCATAACAGATCATCATTTTCACAACAGATCATGAAGAAGAACCGAATAAAACGGTCGACGGAAATACTATATATGTATAGTGACAATTCTGGAGCATTTGTGGCACTCGAATCGAGTGGATTCATCCCATTCGATTGCTACAGACGCGCTTATCTGACTATCAATCAATTGCTGTATAACTACTATTTACCACCAAAACCAAAAACGAAGAAGTTAAACAAATGGAATAATTACCTATAACTAACTTCACTTATAATGTATAAATAATACTCACACACTCTATTCACATCGTCCCCACTTGATGATCCTGAGAAAGTATGCATACGAATCGTGTGTGTTAGTTTCCTCCTTTTAATTGTTTTTCACTTATGGTACTTATAGATTCTAGGCAGACATAATGATTTAAGGACAGACGAATGGATGAAATGTGTATTCATTTACAATTATTTGCTGAAGTTTATTAACAATGCAAAAACAACTTAGATATAGTCGAAGATTAGGCCCTGCCCGACGGCCCGATTGCAGTCCGGGATCGGATAATCGTCAGGTTAGGCAATAAGCACAATTTTTGCCGCTCATTCAGAAATTGTAGAGTTAGTGCTAGAGATGGGGATTACGATCCCCGTTTACATCGAAGTAAATGTGTTGCGAAATGGTATATGAGTTGCCTGTTTTCTAAAAACGAGCACAGTTTACAAATTGTGGTATTTGCTTAATTATTATAATAGTTGGTTTGGCTTAGGATTTAAAGTCTATTAGCAGGTTAATGGTTAAATATGATAGTTTCGCGTCGTTTTTACTGTTGATTGATATTACGAGAGGGGAAGGCATTAATTAGTATTTTCCAATTTATATTACGTATAACCCATTCAGCTAATTAAAAGTAATTAATTTTAATTACTGTCATGCCAAATTAGGGGCAAATATGATAGAGAAAGGAGGATGGAGGAGGAAGGACGAAGTAATTATATTAATTATGACTTAGCTCATTTCTTATGCACAATGCCACTTGCTCGTTGTTTAGATATGATTTACATAGGTGCATAGTGGATGAGGAGTTATTCGAACAACCAATCATAGACACAAGAAAATATATATATAAAAAAAAAAAACAAATATATAACATAGTACATACTTATTTACTAAATATTGTTGAATTTGTCTAGTGAAATTATTAACCAAGATTTTGATAGCGGACCAATTTGCGTATAAGATTTCAGAAATCAATTAGATAAATTCTCTCAGTTCGCCACCGCAAACCAATGCATACATAGGTATTTATTATATATGTATACATATGTATAATTCTAATGATAGCCTTCGTTGAATCTTATGTACGATTAGCATTATCCTGCGTGCTTTAGGTTTTCCGCTTAGTTTCCCTAGGTTTAGTTAGGTTTGTTGGGCTCTGGATAGCGAAACTGGATAGGGCGTGCCGAGTAGTCGAATACACTGTAATAAATAAATAAATAAAACAAATCAGAACATGGATACTTTGTTGCATAATAAAATTAAGCGAATGTTATTTAAATGTAATTCAGCATCGATATGTACTTATATGTAATTCAAAAGTATAATTTAAAATACAACGAATGAATATATTTACACCGAATTAATTATAATTTTTTTTATGAATATATATATATATATATATATATATATATAAATTATATAGACATATATAATTTTATTATAGATATATAAAATTATTATACACACAACAATAAGTTGTATATTGAACTAGTTTATTCATGATGAATATTTGATTATTGCTTACATTTCCAATATGCAGCAGGCACACACACACACACACACACACACACACACACACACACACATACACACTCTCACACACACATACGCACTCAACACTAATAAGATGTAAATATAAATGAAAATTCAGCAATTGGCATTATTGGTATATAAACATATGAACAATTTGGCCGCTAGCCTAATATTAACATGTAATAGCCACCCTTGGGCGGCCTAATAATGTCACCTAATGAAATCTTATTGTTGGAGATTTAATTAAAATAAAAATAATTATCGTGCAAGCATGAAATAATTACACGCAGAATAATTTAAATAAAGAATAATTTAACTATGACAAAATATTGTTGTCTAACCGAATTCCGTTAAAAGTTAAACCACAAACATAGTAAAAAACCGTTACCAATAGCACACATACATATACATATGTATGTATGTGTATGTTCCTCTCTCTGGCTGTCTGCAAGCGAGCAAAGGAGAAGAAAAACCACATGTAAGTTGTCTATATGTATGCTGCCATATTCATTTCGTTTTTATACCTAAGTAAAGAGAAGCTAGAAAGTTCGCAGCAGCAGAGAGCGCTCCCATTGGTCACCCAAAGTTCGCCTGCAACGAGCCGGACGTCGTGATCAGCATTTGAGCGCAACCCAGAGTGTAAGTGAGCGTCGCTCTATATAAAGGGCAGCTCGTGCAGCATTTCTTCAGTCGCCCAGGCCTCGTGGGGGTCACTCGTACAGTGCAGTAAAGTGAAGTGAAGTGTGTGCAAAAAGTCAATGATCGTTCAGCTGTCATTAAAAGCTTGGTAAAGACCTGGAGGAAACACATAGAAGAAATTCTTACAGAAAATACTTAAAGGAAATTATTATAGGAAACACTTTGAGGAAATATTTAAAGAAAATACTAGCTAATTCGAATACTAATAAACATATTTTTTACTGTCCGAGCTGTAGGAGCTCACACATTTTTTTCACTTCTCTCAGCTCGATCAAGATGATGAGCGCTATTGCAGCAATCAAGTTAAATGAAAATGGCAGTGCAACTGTGGGGAAAAACAAATGAGAAATAAATATTTGCACAAGCCTATTAAAAACTTTTAGCTACTTACTAAATAAGCTCGCATATGGATTCAAAATGATTTCTTTGACTAACATTTCGCTTGCAAACATTGTCAAAACAATTCACTTTTAGGTATTTTAAGTCGCTGCAGTTAATCCTTGATAATATTTACAGTGGGAGCATGCACATTCTGCGGCTGATACAAATAAAGGTCCACATGAGCCGACGACTACGGAAAATCGACGGCCTCACACACAATATGAATCATACGGAGCAGCGTCAATAATTTTGTCTTTTTCTTTGTTACATTAATAATTCAATAATAAAATTGATCATTTTTTGCATAGTATAAAAAGAATGATATTTATATAAAATACAACATTAATACGTAGCTTGTAATTTAAAATACAATTTATGAATATATTTACACAAAATTAATTACAATTTTTTTTTTATGAATATACAAATAATTATTATTCACACAAAATATAAGTTGTATTTTAAACTATTTGATTCGCAGTAAAAAAAAACCCAGTGCTAAAGGGATTTTGAAAATTTTAACAATACCACTTAATTTAGGCATTTAACATAATAACATAATATTAACGTAATGATGTATATTTTAGGCGTATTTTTGACACTTTTTAAACTTATTTTAAGGTTTAACTTATAATTCTATTCGTGCAAAAAATACATAGTTACACGCAAAATAATTTAGCTATGATAAATATCATTTGGTAGCATAATTGGGTTAAAACGTATGCCAATTTGTTGGTAAAAGAAAAACTATGACTACAAACATTACATATAATACAGCATTTCATAAAAATGCTAAAAAAAACTAAAAGGTATTACTATGATCACCATCCGAGTTATCATCTACAACGGTGAAGCCAGCTTCATCAGCGATGTCTTCTGAGGCATTGCTAATATTGGGACTAGGCTCTGAGCTTTGTCTGCTATCAGATTGGGTATTCTCCGGCGTCTGCGGTGGTGGAGCTTCAAGTGGTTCCATCAACTCTTGTACACCCGACACCGGCAGTTGTTTTTGTTTTGTTTGGCTCTGTGCTATGTTTGTCGTTCCTATCACATTTAATAACATTTTAAGGTTTTCGCCCGATATACGGTCTTCAACCATTTCGTTTGCAGTGACTTGAGATTGTGAAGAGGTTTTCGTAGATTTTCCATGAAAAACTCCGATCCACATCTTTGGACTTATAACGTACTTGAAGATCATTTTAATTATGTACCCAATCAGAGCTACAAGGGCGAATGGAGCTATTAAGTTGAATGGAAATGATAATTCCGCTGCGGGCAAGGAACATAATTATAAAAAATGACATAATATTTTTAAGGTTTAAAAACTTACAATTTAAGCTCGAAATAGTGTGAGTGGTTTTTTCCAAGATCATTTCGATCTGTTTGAGAAAAATTTCACTCGCATACATAATGAACACATGATCTGGTCGACAGTAAGGCATACGTAATTTGCTAGACTTTCTGTAACATACATGACAACAAAAATATATAGTTGCTAAATAAGTTTTTAAGCAAACAGCTAATGAGTAGTACTAACAAAATTTTTTGTCTCTGTTCTTTTTCTTTAGACTCTCTAAATAAAGAGCCATATATGCCTGAAAACCAGTTTGTGTTTTCATTGTCCATGGACTCTTGATGACTGTCAATTACTTCAATGACAGCATCAACCTCTAGTTTCTAAATGGATTAGAAAAAAATATATATAGGAATGTACCAAACGACGCGGTTGTAATTTATACTACATACCCTATTGCACTCTAAATAGGTAACGAAGTAGCCGTAAAGGAATATTCCGCCTATAACAATGGCTATTGCAGAATATCTGAATCGTTTATGCACAATCCATCCGGTAGCGATGATCAACAGAACAGTTAACATGAAACGCACCTGGTAAAATGTACTTGAATATATGTGCTAATATGTATTTAATAGTAGACAGTCATACTTCGGATATTTGAAGTAGTTTTTGAAGGTCCTTGAAAATATCCGTAATAAGCGCAATCACTCCCATTTCCTTGTGCGTATAGAAATAGTCGTCATCAGCCTGATCCGACGACAAAGGAACGTCGTTTGCCTCATCCAGTATTTTGTTAAGTAAAATATCAAGATCACGCACATCTTCGACCGTCTCAAGTTCAACAACTTGTGACGCTTGTAATGTAAACAGAAGCGATCGCTTGAAAACGTTTGACGTTTTGCCATGCTAAAAATGATTGACATGACGTCATTAGAACACCATTGACAATGATTACGCCGCCTACTTACCATTAGCTTCTTTCGGTTAAACAGAGTGTTAACAAACTTTTTAAAATACATTAGCGCTAGCTGATCTTCTATTGTTGCCAGTGATTTCCCTTCAGGCGGCAAAGCTTGGCATTGGCAGGCATCTTCACCTGGTGTATTGAATTGCGTTGTTGTCAGTTCCGCCCACGCATGTGGCTCAACCCAGCTATCCTGGTAACAGCACACATTGTGGAACAGAAGCAATATAAAACTGACTATTGCATTTGACTGCATTATATTCTTTTTATTATTGCAAAACTATAAAATTAAATATAACTTCAACTAAATTGCCAAGCGGTAAACATGATCACGATTGCGCGGTTGATGCTAGTGTTAAAAAGTGCCAGCTGAGCTGTAGGCCAGTATGCTGGCCAGTGAGCGAGACAAATATTTTCGCTACCTGAACTTCCGTTGCACAGTAGTTCATGGGCAGCAATAATTTCCGTTTAGTATTAAATTGTTGATGAAACTTTAATATTTAACGTAATCTTTTTTACCAATAATAAATAATTCTCAATTAATTGACAAAAAGCTGCATACATAGCTTATGTAGGCCTTGCCAGACTGTTTTGAAATGAAATATAAACATTGGAAAAGCGCTGCCAGACTTATCACAAAAAAATGACTCACGGACAGTGTTAAGTCGAATAGTTTAAACAATATAGTAATAATTAGCATACCGCTATAAGCAAAGCGAGATGGGTTTATTTGGCAAAACTCCCAGCAAAGACCCTAAAGAACAGGTTAGGTATTAGAATACAGCAGTGGTTAATTTCTCTTTTGCGCATTAACAATGCCATGTATTACCTTGAAATGATGTCATGTTCCAATTGTTTTGATTCTCATTTTCCCCATCTGTTCGTTCGATATCTATAGGTGCAAGAATGGACGCACAAGTTGCGAAAAGAGGGGAATCAGCTTGATAGGCAGATACGAAGTATACAACGGGAAGAGGAAAAGGTAAAACGGTCGCTCAAACAGGCAGCTCAAAAAAATGACCGCGATACCTGCATCATTCTCGCCAAAGAGATAGTGAATGCGCGAAAGGCAATAAATCGTATATACACATCAAAGGCGCATCTCAGTTCCATACAGATGCAGATGAAAAATCAATTGTGTAAGTGAATTTTGTGTATTGTAGGTATTGCTGCCACTAACTGATCTTTAATTGGTTCTATAGCTACATTGCGGGTGGCTGGTTCTTTGCAGAAATCCACAGAAGTTATGCAGGCCATGCAGAGTCTTGTTCGATATCCGGAGCTGGCAGGTATTATGCGAGATATGTCAAAGGAAATGATGAAGGCCGGCATAATCGAGGAGATGTTGGACGAGACCATGGATTCGCTGGAAGAGTCTGAGGAGTTGGAGGAGGAGGCAGCAAAGGAGGTCGACAAGGTACTCTGGGAAATTACGGATGGTAAACTGGGCGAGGCTCCACTACCGCCAGAAGCAACACCAGCAGACAAAACACCAGCAGCAGCCTCCCGCGTTGCCGTCGAAGAGGATGACGATGATGGCGAAGAGCTGGAAGAAATGCAGAGTCGCCTGGCATCGCTGCGCTCATAAGCAACTTGCCGAGCAGGGGCAGTATGCATGTAGCAAAATTTAGATTCGAATTTCGAAAATGTAGCTTATGATTATTAATTTTATCATAGCACTTTGCACGCCACCCAAATCCAAAATCCAATATATTGCTGCTTACCCCGATTGTGAATTATAGAAACCAAAATAACAGTGAAACTCTATAAACAGTTTTTATAAGTTTAAGTGTACAATATTTTGGTTCATATTATGTTGAACTGCTTGTGTTAAAATTGTAAACTTTTATACGTACATATATAATTTATTATAATTAATCGGTATTAAATGTAACTTAAGCGTATATTCGGATTTTCGGCAGTTCAATGTAATTCTCTGCTCAGTGAGTAGGTTAAAATTCATATGGGATATATGATGGCACAACTTTATGGTCTTTTGGCCATGTTGATGACAACATTGGACTTAGATATTATTACAGCATAACCTTAGGCTGAGACCCAAATAATATTTCCTGAAATAAATACGAGAGATTCCATAAATTGTAAATGATATCTCAGAGGATAGTAGTATTCAAAGCCCTTTGATAATTTAAACAATTTGGTATTGTTTGTTATGGTCTTAGCCACGTGTTCCGCTCATCTTTAATACCAACTAAGTTAAAGCTATTGGAATATTTTATGGTTCCAGTGTAGATTGTATCCAGTCTACATAGGCTCCGACTCGACTATAGACGCCTGGCCAGCCATTCAGGCCACACGGCGTTGGCCCGAATGAAACAACGCCCGCCAGAAAATAGTAGGTGTTCACCTTGTTTGTGTCGAGGCCTATGAGTGGGCCACCTGAGTCACCACGACACGAGTCGACGCCCTCCATGCCGCCAGCGCACATCTGTGTATTCTCTAGGACAATGTTCTGACGACTATAGACAGACTGGCACTCCGACAAAGTGAAGCCATCTACGGCGGCCTTCAGCTTTAGATTGCTGGACGACTTCTCCTCCGTCTTGCCCCAGCCAGCCACATCCATTGAAATACCATCGAATGTGGCGGAACGCAGATTCGTGTCCAATGGCAAGCAAATGGGACGTACAAAATCGGTGTATTCGATTTGGCGCGCCAAGCGTAGGAGCGCAATGTCATTGAGTTGGTTCCTTGAACTGGGATCGTACGATGGATGCGGTATGGTGCGCTCCACTGGCACATCCAAGTGCGGTGGCGCACAGTCCTTCATACCACGCACATCGACTTCACAATCCGGATTCGTTTCGGTGTCCCATTCACCAAGACGCACTCCCGTCAGACGCCAGTCGGTGGGCAGAGATTTGCCATTGACGCAATGCGATGCAGTCACTACGTAGCGAGTGCTGATGAGTGATCCGCCGCAATGGTGACCCTTGTTGCCACTGCCTGAGGAAACGAAAGCACTTAGCTGGATGGTTTCACATTTATCACTTAGCTACCTTTGGTGTATTCGATCAGCGCCATCCAAGGAAATTCATCGATTTTTGTTTTAACGCCGCCATAAATACGATTCGATAATATATTTCCACACTGACCCGGCAAAGGCAATAGGCTTGTGTTTGTCTTGTTTGTGACGGGTCGCACAGTCGTCACCGGTGTGGTGTCCCGGTAACGATCCGGACAACAAATCTGCAAGTCAAGATATTACCTACGGCGTAATTTCAAAAGTGTATATGAAGCTGACTTACCAAAACCTTATGATTAAAATAGCCACACTGGCTGCGACTGAGATACAGTTTATCAGCGTCTAGTAGAGGTGTTGATGTCAGTATTCCGTACAAATACTTGCAATCCTCCAGATGTATGCACAGTGCACGCTCTCTGTTGGGCGTGATGCACCGTCCATAGTTCGGCACTTGGTTAGCCTCATTGGGAAAATAAAATTCTGCGAACAAGTAACAAAAATATACAGTGAATCAATCTGTATATGCATGTATTGAGCATTTCAATTAATAATTTCTATTTACGTTTAGTTTAAAATAAAACTGGTTTCAGAATAGCTAATCTACCGAGAGAGCTGTGATGGCCCCCAATACATATAGTCTTATTTACATACCAACAAACATGCAGATATTTGTGTACATAAATCATTATTCTTTAGGCTTCTTTAATGATTCGACAAACTTTTCCCTGCCTTTGGCAATTTAGCTACTTACGCGCATTTGCTGAACTCACAGCAAGTCCCAAAATGAGGTGGATCGAAAATATTTTCAACATGTTTCGTTTAATTATGTAACACAAGTTTTCGGTTAAAACGTCGTCAGTTATAAGCAATATTTTTGTTGCTTTTAATTGTATATCTCTTAATGTCCTACTCAAGTAAATGCAGCAATTAAGTAAATATGATGACCAAAACGGAATCTCCGTTGAACTTCACTCGGCAGCCGCTCACTACGAATGGAGAGGCCAGAGCAAGGCTTCGCGTACAACTGAGACGCTGCGAAGCGGTGAGCGCAGCTTAAGGGAGAACTTTGGCTGAGCTTTTGCTTAAGCTTTTTGTTTTGTTCTCCGTTTTCTTCAGTTTGTAAGTTATTTGTGGAAGTAGGGTATGCTGGTTTTGCGAAATGTATGTAACAGGCAGAAGTAGGCGTGGCACGATCTACTAAATAAAAAATGATAATTTGTCTTGGAATTTTAATCGTGGCTTGCACACTGTAACACCCATAATCTCCAGATATACCGAATAATTAGTATAGCAATAGACATTCCCATAACGCAGCCGCTAAGCAGAGTGCGTGCTTATGTGAGTGTTAGTGTATGTATGTATCTACATATATAAAAGAAGCATAGAGTTGTATGAATATCAGCTCGCGCAGGTTGCCGAGTACCTCCTAGTCGAGCAGTCTCGGCTGAAGCACTCTTCCTTTTATTAATCTTTAAATTTATTTATAGTATTTATATTGAATAGGAATAATATACAACGTTGTGAACTCTACGTGTATGTGCGCAGAGTTTCGGCTTTGGCGTTGAAAGAACTTTGGAAAAAGTCAAGTCTCCCGCAACTCCTCCGTTCATATATTTAGCATATTGATGCTATCAAAGATCCAGTTTATATAGGAGCTAACAGCTGTGTAAACGCCTGGAATTGTTGTCACGCCGCAAAGGGTTGGCCCAAAGGCCACAATACCGAGCAGCGTGTAACGTCCGTTGGCATTGAGGATGCCGGAAGTGCCGTCGTCCATAAAGGGACCGCCACTGTCGCCGCGACACACATCCTTCATGGGCTGGCCTTGGGCACACAGGTGGTTCGGCGTGATGACAATCGGCTGCTGGAAGTTCTCGCTAAGCGTTGCATAGGTAATCGCACAGCTGGTCGTGTTCACAATGGGCAACCGGATGAATCGCACCGTGGCTGAGCTGCCGGAACTGTTTGAACTGTTAGCTGTACAAAAAAATAAACAGAGTAAGCGTACGAAATGATTTCACACTGGTTATAATCAATGTGATTCATTTCAGTTTTATTTATCTTAAGTATAACATACTCTCCGCTTTTGTGCTCCACCCGGCCACAACACCCATTTGCCCAATTATTTTATCCGCAAGCGCTGCCGTGCTATTCAAAGGTAAACATATTGGTGTGAATTTACCTGCAAATTTATTAAATTATTACAATCTCGTGGAGGCGTGAGAGAGGTAATCTTCGTACTTATACTGTTGTTGAGGCCGAGCAGTGCTATATCGTTCGCATACTTCGGTTGATCGTAGTTGGGATGCACCAACACGCGTATAATATTGAATATATTCGGCTTCGCACAGTTCGCAGTATTCGGGGCACAATCCTGCGGGCTGGAGATGTCATCGCCTATACGCACCTGAAATCTATAAATATAATTTTGAAGGTGGTTTTTGTCTGTATCTGTATCTGTAGCTATTGCCTATCTTCGAGTGCAACCCGATTTTATAGCCAAATTTAGATCTATACCATTCACATACAATTAATGGTTAATTTTAAGTTTAAGTTTCATTTTAATTTTTTACATTTAAATACTTACACTTCCAGATCACTCACTAGGTTAACAACACAATGGGCGGCGGTAAGAACGTAATTGTTAGCAATGAGAGAGCCAGAACAGCGATAGCTGATGCGATTGCTGGCTGTGAATGGAGATAAGACAGTAAACAATAGATTAATCAATTAATGTTTCAATATGCTTGCAGATCTGACAACATGATTAAGAGATGTCCCTGCAAAAGTGCAAATAATACAGATCCCAATTGTTCATATTGTGCCAACGGCAAGCAAAATTCTGGGAAACAAAATAAAGGCGGATCGTACGATCCGAATGGCTATCCCAATTCGAAAAATGGGAGTCCCCATGATGGCAGCAAAAATGGCAGCAACAATGGCAGCAACAATGGCAGGAATCCTTCAAACCAAAAGGGAAGGTCAGGGGCTCGCGGTAACGATTCGCAAGGAGGTGACGGTAGCGATAATTCGATGTCACTTCTAAAAGCAGTTCTTGTTTTCTCCACTGGTTGCCTTATAACCATGCAGATGACTAACGTGGCTAATGAGCTAGGATAATCAATCTATTCTGTTTTGTTAGATTTGTGCTTTATTGTTCATTAACCGAATGTCGAGATCTAACTTGAAAACACGTAAACTCAGGCACTTGTAAACCATTCTCAATTGGATTGTATTAATAAATTTTTTGTTTAAATTATCATACTCACTGCGATTACGATAGGCGATTCGGACGAACCACGGATATTGGCCTGGCACCACCTTGTCGCCGCCCAATAGGCGGGTGCTTAGACTGATTCCACAGTCGGCAGAGTTCAGTCTCACAGCGGTCGCTGGTGCCACAGTGCTAGGCGTGATTGTGGGCGTATTGTCATCTAAAGCGTGCTCTTCACTTGCATCGGCAAAGAGTTCGACCTGATCCTTGAAGCCCGTTGAATGTTGGAAACGCAGGTCACCGGGAAAGACAATCGGTCTATCAGCAGGTATTGGACGCAACTCTTTCTTCGCCGTCTTCATATCGTGGTCAATATGAAAGTGAAAGTGATGTCCGCTGCCGAACTTATAAGCATGATCATCGTAGTCCTCTTCAAGCGGCTGAGGACAATTGCGCTGAGCTGTGAAATCTCGATAATTGAGTAACTGCATTTCAGTCGCATGTGCTAAACTGCGATTGAGGTTGACGTTGACTCTTGGATTGCGCTTTGAGGTACTTGCAGAGTCCCAAATCCAACGTTCATTTGGAGCATAGCGTGAACTGCGACCGATGTGTGAAGATGCCACCTGATGATGGGGACAGCAGGCAAGAGGATCGAGGCCCTGAAAGCCACAGCCAGCTGAATGGACCATAGAAAACACAGAGGCGCGCTCTTCGGGCGTGTGGTTGAGCAAAAGCCGGACAAAGGGTGCACAATCCTTGATCTTTATGCAATGGCAGACATTAGCCAGGTAAACAACTGCAAAATTCGATTTTGATCTGAGGTAAACGCACGTGCAAATAATTAAGAAAACACCGCATAGTAAGACTAAGCTCAAGCTAATAGTCAAGGTCAATATCTGCAAGCCAGAAGTGACCAAAGCGCCAACAGAAGTCCGGTTCGGCAATTACTGAGTCACTTTTGCTGTCGTTTTCGTAATTATATTGTTGTAGTTTATTGCCCTTCGCTTGTTGGCCAGAGCATGATGCCAGCATATTTACTTTGGGAATTTCTAGACACTGACCTTGGCCCAGTCCCACAAAGGCAACGAGATGACGTCTGTTCTTTTCCTTCGAATCTGATTTGTCATACACTAGCAGCAGCAGTGGATTCTAATGAGAGCGGAGCTCTAATAAGAGCGTCTCTCCAGTTTGTTGCTTAAGTCGTTTGTTTGCTTCTTTTTTTGTACTTACACTGAAAACACAATGTGCTAATCACTACAAAGCAAATTAACTTTACAAACAGCAAATGCATTTTGCGCTTTCGTTCAGCGGCTGCTACAATTTTTCCCGTTTAGATACACACACTTCAACACTCACACGCACGCGTTAACACACACAATCGCGGGCACAATCGTCGTCAGTCTGTGGACTATTCTTAGCTGATCAGATGCGAGCACAACATTTGCCGTCGAGGTGCAAAGTAAAATTGAAATAAATTGGTTCAATATGTGAGTATATCTTATTTCCATTTCCATTTCGACGGCGGAGTGTAGCTGTTGTTTTTGCTTTTTTAATTTTTTGATTTTTATTATCAACAACGAATCAAAACAAAGAGGGAACACAAAAAATTGAATGCCCCAAAAGCTGAACTTATGAAATAGCCACCACTACACAGGCAAACAAAGAAACAACACACACACGCACACGCACTCGTATGCATATATCAACTAATTTGAGTAGAGCTGAGAGAGGCAAACGTAGCGAACGATCATAACTGGCCCGAAATCCGAGTGGCACTGACACCTGGTGCGTAAGTCAACTTGCCGGCAACACGAAAGTAAAGCACACACACACGCTCGCAATATATATGCATGTATACATATCAGATAAAACATGTTTTAAGTATTTCCGAGCTATCCATTCTGAATGCTTGTAAATGGGCTATCGACATTTAAAAGAGAGTGCAAGACGTTCATATCCTTTTAATGTGCGCGCTTATATATGCTTGAATATATATATATATATATATGTATATTTTGATCATAGATTGAACTTAAAATATTACTAACATATTTAGTAAATCGGCTTACGCTAAACATAAATGCACAAATGACATGAAATGAACTTTTACTTAATATACATATGTATGTATGTTTAGAAATGTGTATATATGGAATGTATTGATTCTGATGGCGTACAATGCTATGCGTATGTTCTCAATAAGCCTTTGCTTTTTCTCTTCTTTCTCGCTTGCTCTCCGTGTATTTATGCCACCGGGACTACCTCGGGCGCAGCAGCTACAGAGACAATGACACTGGCTGAAACGTTATTCTCGACCTGTTCTACAGGTTCGATAGTCGGCTGCGATTGCTGCTGCTGCTGCTGTTGTGGCTGCGTTGGCGACTGCTCTGCTGGGGACGTATTCACCGCAATTGTTGTCACTGATGACGTCGGCCCACGAATGCTATTAGTATCAGCATTGGTATTATTGCCAGTGAGCTGGTCGTCATCATCATCATCAACTGGCGTTTCTTGACGCAACACTGCTGCCAGGTGGTTATCATTAACTGTCTCTAAAGTCTGATCGCTGACACCGTTTGCTGCATCTGCTGCCGTTGCTGTTGATGTTGTTGCTACAACTGCTGCTGCCGCATGCATTTCTATTGTACTTGGCAACGTTTCTGGGTCTGCAGTCGTTTGCTCCAATTCAGCGTACCCGTTGCCGCTAGTTCCATTTACATTTAAATTCACAGATACGTCTCCATTGTGCATAGAGTGTGGAGTCTTCAGTTCATTGATGATTTTTTCTCCCACTTTTGGGTCCAATTCGGTGATTTTCTCTTGCAGTTTACTTTTGAACTCGATCGGCCATTTGGGACTCCATTGACGAAACAGTTTAATCTGTTATAAAAATAAACGTTAGCAAGAAAATGTAACGGATAAACCAAGATTTTTGTTCTTTTCATATATTTACACGGCATTGAAAAAGACTCATGGGTTTTTCCTGTACACCCGACGTGGCCAGGGCATTGACGACGCCATTTACATAGGTACTGCCAGCATTTCCATCTCCGCCTGCACTTACGGACGTGTCTCTGGTGAGATACTCTACCAACACATATACAAAATCATCGCGCTGCAGCTCACTCCATTCGTTAAACCATTGAATAATATAACGAAACTCGCCGTCAACTGATAAATTGCTCATATTCATATTTGCATATATGTATTTGCTCACTGTCTCAAGCTGACACGCCCCCGCACATGCACTTTGAAATGGATAGTTGGCGACTGAGTATAACAGCCCAAATGATTATAATTGCAATTATATTTGAAGTCCGCTCAAACGAGGTTCTGCTTGTGCGCCTCAGTGCTGCTATTCGCCTCAAAGTTTCTATACTAACAACAACCCGTTTCTAATTTTTCTTCGCCGCTTGATTACAAAGCCCAGCTCACAACAGCTGATACGGCTTCTTAAGCATATCGATAATAAGATATGGGGCGTTGTGCAGCACCTGCACCTGTGCTGCAGTGCATTGGGGCGTATAATCAAATATGAAGCAATGAATTTGTGATTGAATTATACATGATATCAATTTCTCTAGTATTGAACATAATTCGGACAGCAAGCTCTATTGACATATGTATATACAATATTAATAGAATTATATTACGATTGAGCTCTAGGTTTGAAAATAACAGCTTATCGATAAGTCGCGCCTTCCCGCTTGTTGCACAGCACTAATCATTGTGGCGTTTCTCAACTCTTGAAAATTTGCAGACAGTAAATAATATTAGAGAACAGCTCGGCAGAAAAAATTGATCAATTAAAATAAATTATGTCGTCGTCAGAACAAGAAATCCAACAGAAATCTACGGATAATCAGCAAGAGCAAGTGTCCAATGCAGATATTAATGCCACCAAACCTGATTCAGCGACGGATGCAACGCAACATGATTTTGCCGCGGCTGAGCAGTACAAAAATAAGGGAAATGAATTGCTCAAAAGTAAGTTATCATTTATGATATTGAAATCGAAACAGACTACTATTAGATAGTTATGATGATAACTGTCACAAAATCACATGTAATCAAATAAGCAGTTCTATGCAGCCACAGCGCGTCCCGTGTTGCTAGTACGTTTTTTCTCGACCTAACCTTAAAAGCAATTGACTAGCAGTGGCGCTATGTGAATATAATTTTTACAGTAGCGTTTGATATTAAAATCTGCATATTTTAGTTGAAAGAGATAGTTAATGTGAAAAATGTAATCGTAACCAATTCTGTCATTTCCCAGCTAAGGAGTTCTCGAAAGCCATTGACATGTATTCCAAAGCCATAGAACTTTACCCCAGCAGTGCAATATACTATGCTAATCGGGCCCTCGCGCATTTGCGCCAGGAAAGCTTTGGCTTGGCCCTGCAGGATGGCGTTTCGGCAGTAAAAACTGATCCCACTTATTTGAAGGGCTACTATAGGCGCGCGGCGGCCCATATGTCCCTAGGCAAGTTCAAACAGGCGCTATCTGATTTTGAATATGTAAGTACAATTGATATATTAAAAACATTTACGCTTGAATTGATAAGTTATCTGTTTAGGTGGCCAAATGCAGACCCAATGATAAGGACGCTAAATTAAAGTTTACCGAGTGCAGTAAGATTGTCAAGATGCGAGCCTTTGAGCGTGCTATTGCTGTCGATAAGCCTGAGAAGTCTCTCTCGGAGATGTACAGAGACATGGAGAACATCAGTAAGTACTCAAATTGTTTTATTTAAATAATGAATTATACAATCGAGTGCTTGCATTCATTATACATTAAAATCTATTTCTAATGTAGCCATTGAGGACGACTATAAGGGACCTCAACTGGAGGATGGCAAGGTTACTTTAAAATTCATGAAAGACCTTATGGAGCATTATAAGGCACAAAAGAGACTGCATCGAAAATTCGCTTATAAGGTAGCGTTATAGCAATGGAATCTAAAGTTTAAAATGAAATGTATAACTTGTGTATGATTGCAGATACTCTGTGACATTGATGTGTACATGCGCGCACAGCCGTCCCTTGTGGATATTAAAGTTCCAGATGAAGAGAAATTTACTATTTGTGGCGACATACACGGCCAGTTCTACGATCTAATGAATATCTTCGAAATAAACGGCTTACCTTCAGAGAAGAATCCGTATTTATTTAATGGAGATTTTGTCGATAGAGGTTCATTCTCGGTTGAATGCATATTTACGCTCTTCGGATTTAAGTTGCTGTATCCAAATCATTTCTTCTTATCGCGTGGTAAGTTAACGTTAGTGACGCCAATCGTCGAACTCGGGACTTACATAACTCATTTACAGGCAATCACGAGAGCATCAATATGAATCAGATGTATGGCTTCACGGGCGAGGTTACCGCCAAGTATACCAGTACAATGGCGGATATATTTACGCAAGTATTTAACTGGCTGCCATTGTGTCATTGCATCAACCAGAAAATCCTGGTAATGCATGGTGGTCTGTTCTCGTCAGACAATGTTACATTAGACAACATAAGGCGAATTGAACGCAACTGTCAGCCACCTGAGGAGGGACTCATGTGCGAGTTGCTCTGGTCCGACCCACAACAATGGATGGGTCGCGGCCCCTCCAAGCGCGGTGTGGGCATACAATTTGGTCCGGACGTGACTGAGGCATTCTGCAAAGCTAACAACTTGGACTACATCATTCGCAGTCACGAGGTTAAAGACATGGGCTATGAAGTGGGCCACAATGGGCAATGCATAACTGTCTTCTCGGCGCCAAATTATTGGTAATTATCACTAATTAAACCCATTGAAACTGTTCAAGTACTAAACGTTCCTTTACAGTGATACTATGGGCAACATGGGCGCATTTATAACAATTACTGGTAACAATTTGAAACCAAATTACACATCATTTCAGGCTGTGGTAAGTACTACTGTAAAACTCTAATAAATATGTTTGTCATATTGTGTTTGATATTCACAGCCACATCCTGATGTTAAACCTATGGCTTATGCCAATAGTCTAATGAATTGGCTGGCGTAGTCATAGCGGCCTGCATCCTATGCATAACAATAGCTATGAACAGAACACCACATTCTCCCACACCCCTGTCCACGCTTACAAACCCACAACTGCATTATAACGATCAAAACCAACACGGATTCCAAATTGCTCAAAATACCTCTATGTACACAGCTTGCTAATTGTTCTACGATTTATGTTCGAGAGAGACAGTTGTGGTATGTAGGATGAGAGCTTCAGAATAGCAATCACTTAAAAACAAATACAGCTATATTTGATACAAAAACTTTGCATAAAAGAATGATTATATAAAG